ATATGGTTGCTAAAACATAGTCAGTTTGTTAGTAAAAATAAATTGTTTGATGCTAAATCTACCTCTAGACAGATTTGAATTTTACTTGCAAATATTGCAACATGCAAATTTCATGTTTTTTTCCACCCAAGAGAGGAAAGTCATCCTGCTTGATTATTTTACATATTAAATGATCACTTAGGCATGCCAAATATAATAGAGTGACAGTGGGAATTTATAGTAATTCAAATATCTGTCAATACCATTAGATTGAACACCAACAATTTTTGGTAAGCTTTTAACATACATTAACTTTAGTTAAGTAAAAATAAAGATACTGTTAAAAAAGACACAGAATTGACAGTATTTAGCAATTTATTAATATAATGGAGGGTCAATCAGGAAACCTCTCAGATTTTGTTCTAGGTACTTCCGTACATGGTGATGCCAATTTAAAATAGTTAAATTTATTTTTGATATTTTTTGAGCATTTCATAATGTATTTTGAACTAGGAACATTTGTAACATAAGGGTATAATGTTTTCAAGGAGATGATTCTGACCCTGTGTGCTTTGCTATAAAATCCTTTCAGATTATGCCATGGATTCACTGTGTAATCCCAAAGGGTCATTTAAGCTTTTTGCACCTCAGTCCTACATATGTAAGAAAAAAAATATACCTCCCAGATAATTTAATAAAGCAATTCAACAGTAAAAAATAAATAAATAAATAAAAATAAATAAATAAAGATACTGTTTGAAAAAGTAGCATATCAAAGAATAAATACTTTGTGGTATAATTGCCTAGATCTTATAAATCTTATTAATTCTCAGATCTCTATGATATGAATAATCAATGTTGGGCTGGGGTTGTAGCTCAGTGGTAGCGCACTTGCCTAGCATGTGTTACTGGGTTCGATTCTCAGCACCACATATAAATAAATAAAATAAAAGTCCATTGACAACTAAAAAAATATTTTAAAAAATAATTAATGTTTTCTTATTTTTCAGGACTTAATCTACTTTATGTCTTGGAAACAAAAATACATTTCTCTTGGGAAAAAAAAAAAGCACGTGGCATCCAATTCAAAGAGAAAATACGATTGAAAATGCTAATTCAAATGACCTGGTTTTAATCAGAGCCAAAGAATTGTAGCATAGAACTATCCTAACAGAAAGTAAAGTATGGAAACGAAATGGCTCCTTTTGTAAAATAACAACTTGTATTTTGAGAGTAGGTATCTAATATGGTAACCTCACTGAACTAAGGACAGCAACCTAACAGGTGGAGAGTCACAGATGTCACAAACATCCATGCAAGGAAGCACAATCCACTTCTTCATGTCTTCACTGTAGGTCCATTTACTCTTACTTTAGTTAGTACTCAGTTCTAACTATCTTAGTCATCTGGTCCCCCAAACCCAAGCAGATCAGAAGGTGCACTACGAAGGTGAATAAAGTACATTGCTACAATCACACTTAAGCAAGCAGTAATATAAATGGAGGAATCAGAACATCCACTGAAAACAAAGACATGAAAACTGACACAAGTGCTGCAGAATGGAGTCATTTAGTACAGGACAAATAATTCTCAGTGTTTAGTCTATCCAAGTATAATAAAAATGATAATTTTAATATAAAAGCTTAAAGTGTATTTCATATATTGTTTAAGAAGACAGCAATAGTTTTTATAAAGATTGCCTTCAGATATTATTCCAAAAATTTAATGCTGAAAGAAGTTTAAGCTTAATAGAAAATTGGGATATCAAGAATGACTCATTCCCCAAATAGTCAAGTCAGCCAGTTCTTACTAAATTAGTCATGTTTAGTCTCAGACCAATAGTTCGAGAATATAAGTCTTGGTGGACAGAGCTGAAGTCATGTTAATCATGCCATAAATTTCAAATCTGTGTACTCAACTAAGAACGATTAACAAAAACAAAATATTTAACATTTTCCTGACATATACACAATGATTTATACAAATATGGTAGTCAAATTTTTCTTTTAGCATTGAATTCATTAACAGGGAATCCTAGAAACATCAATATATTAAAACAGAATTAATACTTCAAATATATGGCAATCACATATTCAACCAAGCAGTTTTAGCAAGTCCTTAGTAAGAGGCAAACAGATGAATGCTAAGAACCCAAACAGGTATCACAAAGTCCATGCACTTTACTGATAGAAGAGCCCTTAGCCTTGTTGCAGTCTACTTACTCTTATTTTAGACACAATTCTAGCAAGCTTGGCAATCTGGTTTCTCAGTCCACAGCAGATTAGAAGCAGCAAATTAGGGGCCTATTGCAGAAGGCAGGCACACAAGACAGCAGCAAAATCACAGCTGATTATAAGGGAAGATAGAGAAACTGTGAAAAACAAACAGTATTCAAAAAAGCACAGCAATGTGAAGTTAGCCAGTAAAGGGGCCCGACATCATTCCTGTCATCCCCGAGGGTGAATTTGTCAATCACCCATGATAGGAGGTGATATTCTTAAAGATGAAAAAGAAAAGGTTAAACTACATTCTATATACTTCAGAAAAATGGAGAGGTGCGATTAAATGAATTTGCCTCAAAATTTAACTGATTCAATGGGACTGGGGCTGTAGCTCAGTGGTAGAGCACTTGCCTAGCATGTTTGAGGCACTGGGTTCCATCCTTAGCACCACATAAAATAAATAAGTATTCTGTTCATCTACAACTAAAAAAAATTTTTAAAAATTAACTGATTCAAGTTAATAACCTGTCAATGATGACAGCTGAATGAATTGTTACAGTACTTAGGCATTTTCTATATTTTCTCTCCTAAATTATTTGCAGTTTAGTTTTCTAATCTAAGTTATGAACTACACAGATATGTTCCTATAAATGGAACTGGAAAAATAAATCTTTATACCCTGTCATTCATAGCATACTATCTACTTAACCTCAAGCAATGGTTTGTTTAGCTATATGTATCACCATCTTATGGTATTTAGTTCTTGTATCCTGGTTTTGTTTGGGTACAGAAACAACATACTGTGATTAAACCAAATTACATAGGATTTTTGACAAAGGATTTCTAATCATTTGGTAAAATGTAAATAGTCAACAGAGGGAAATGAAATCTAGGGTCCTATCTGATTAATACTTCATTAACCTATAACTTCTGAAATATACCAGAAGTTGATTTTTATACTTTAACATTAAAAGTGTTATAATTTTTAAAATGTGAGTCAGACTATTACTTTTTTAAGAAAACTGAGTTTAAAAATTTTTGACCTGTTTTACTAATATATTTATAACCAATCTTGCTTTTCAGTCTCAAACATTTTATTTCCTTTTCCTTTTATCTTCTCCTGAAAAGAAAGTGCAAATAGCATTTAGAAATTCAGAGAATTTGAGTTCTGTTGGAAAGACTCTCCCTAACATTATTAGGTCACAGCTTTTATATATTTAATTTTTGAATTATTTATTTATTTTATGTGGTGCTGAGGAGTGAACCCAGGGCCTTGCCCCTGGTGGGCGAACACTCTACAGCTGAGCCACAACCCCAGCCCTCACCCACAGCTTTTAAATGAAGGGTATGGAATTTAAACTCAGCCTATTCTTCTATAGGAAAGCATGAACCTATCCTCTTAAAACTTTCTTATTAATTTGCCTTAAGTGTGTTTCTCTCAATTTGCTTGTCTTCAGTAACTTAAGAATTCTGATTTGAGTTAAGGTATCAGTTTCCTAATGAAATATATTCATATACTGTGAGAACCATTAGCTTTAATGAGGATGTAAGCTATAAAATCAGAAAACACAAAGAACTTGTGAAAATAAGCAGAGGATTGCAAGTCATAGACCAACAAGAGTCTGGCCCTAGATGTGCCAGATAGGTAGGGCTTTAATAAAAGCTGAGAAAAAGGATTTAAGGCATGATAACTTGTACCAGACCACTTTCTGTCATGACTTTCCTATCTGTACGTGGACAAAGGATAAAAATTCTGTCTTAAAGAGTGGCCTAAATCAGCCCCTCACATGTATCCTTCCTTTGAGTTCTAGGCTTGTCTTGATAAAACAAACCATGGCGATATTTGTATTAAGAGCTGTCAGGATACTAGCACTACCACGATTTATACTGTCAAAAAATACTGTAAAATTTGCAAAGTACAGTTATAAGTGTTTTCCACAAAATGTTTTTTTCCCAGAGGCTTCTTCTGGATGTAGAATGGCAGCTATTAAAACTATCAACAACCTGATAAGAGAAAGTAGAATATTCTTAGAAAAAGTAATAAACGAGAACACCTATTTATATTACATTGGTAAACAAGAACACCTATTTATATTATATTGGCCTGTTTCTTATATTTCCTAAGGTATTCATTGGAAGAACTAAGTGACAAACAGGGATTCTTACATTTTATTGGGCATGAACATTACCTAGGTCTCATTTCAAGCTAAGAATTACAGAGAGTATGTCCTAAAATTCTCATTAAAAAAAAAAAAAAAAAAAAAAGACCTCTAGTTTATTCTGAAGCAGGTATCCCACTAAAACGACAATGAGAAATATCAACTTAGAACATTTCAGGAAAAAATTCGTCAAGGAATTTTCAAGAAGATAATATTTTATCTTGAAAATATTTTATAAGATGAAAAAAAATTTGAAAAACTACTTACAAAACACCTAATATTTGGTTAATGTTCCAAGATCTTTAGATCATGATTTCAACAAGTAGAGTTTTCATGAAACTATGTAATGGCTAGTGAATAAAACAGATCAGATTGGAAGACTGGAAAATTCTGATTCAAATTATCTAATCTTTCAGAATTAAGAAGTGTCACCTCAGAGAGCACTGAATAAAACTGATACTGTTATGAAGATCTCTCTCCCAAATCAGGATAGTAGAAACAAAATAGAATAAAAGAATTAAAATTATTAAACTCTGATTTTTCCTCTGTAAGGTTATAGGTTAAAATAAAGATCACCAAGTTTTTCTATAATTGCTTTTCCTAAATCCCAGGAAAAATGGAGTTGGCAACTAAGTTTGTGATTTAAACCAGAAAGTATAGGTATTATTTATTACTTAGGAACACAGAAGTCAGTAACAACACAAGAAGATTCTTTTTTCCTTCAAATTTAGTATAACTAGGTCCAACCTAAGGTATTACTCTGAAGAGGTTTATTACGATAAGTCCCAAAATTTTGGCAAAAGGCAAAAATCACTTATGGTACAAAGGATGTCTACTAGTCATATAAAGCTAAACCAAGTTTTTCCTCAGGATTAAAAAAAAAGTTATAAAAAAAATAAACAATTCTGAGTATAAGTAAATTTACTCACTGTAAGTGCTAAGTGACATAATTTAAATGTATTTCTAGATTATCTAAAGATAATCTAGATTCATCATGTAATTTCCCTGTAGTATAACAGCGTAAGTTGAGTTATTCTTACATTTTCCCTAAATAATATCTATAAACTATGTCAGGTACAGGAGTTACAGGTTTCAAAAACAGTATACTCCAAAAAATACCAGTCTTCAACAATGGAATCACAACACACGAGATTGGCCACTTTGAAAAGCAGTCTCTTCTAAGAGGTAGCTTGCAAATGAAGACTAGGAAGACAAGGTTTCTTTCCAGGAAGCTGACAGGTTTCCTGAGTCTCACAGGCTCACAGGCTAGAAAATTGTAGCACTGGACCTACTTGTGGTAATGGTGCACAATTATCTTGAGGCAAACTGATACAAAGAACATTATGCTAAGTTGGGGGTGGGGTTTTTTACTATAGGGATCCCACTTTTGACAAGGAAAGTAATAACAAAGGAAGGAAAAAGTAATAACAAAAGAAAAAAGTTGAAAGGGTTTTTCTTGACCTAGTATGTTTTCCTTTTAAAGACTATTAGGAACATCTTAAAATTAACTACTGAATATTTACACGAACAATAAGAATTATGTCATAACCCAACTATTTTTGAAACTACTTTTAAGTTCCAAACCCCAGCACACATCAATTGTATGAATTAAATTTTTTTTTATTCAGAACCTGTATCTTTTTTTTAAGACTGGTATAAACAAAAATAAAATACAAACAACTCGTTATTAACATAATAGCTGCAGTTACTAACTGCAAAGATACAGTAAAAAGGAGTCATACTAAATGTTAATGTTCTTGCAAGAGAATTAACCTAGTCACCTTATGGTAGCAAATTCTGGCAAGAAATGATAAATTCATTTCTTATTAAAAGTACTTAAATAATTACCAAGATTATCAGTTGGGCCACAAATAAAGCAGCAGTTTATTTTAAAGAGCCCTTACCTTTCTCTTATTTTCCTAAAAAATCTGTCACTTACAGGTAACTATTAATCTGAGACAGTTGTTCAAACCAGGTTTCTTCCTAGAAATTCACATCTTAACTTTATAGATAGTAAACTTACACTTATCTTCCCTTTCCAGTCCTGAAGCTAAAACACTTTTGTAAAAGGAACAATCTAAAATCATTTCATTGATCTTGGTTCTTACTTTCCTCTACCTCGTTTTCATTTTCTTCTATCATTTGTTCTTCCTCCTCATCACCAAAAGTCTGTTCCTGCATGGTGGTGAAGGAGAGAGACCTAGCAGCCACTTCTGCTGCGAGGCCAGCAGTGAAGGTAAATTCTGGTGACAGCTGGAGCTGTGCCAACCTCTGCTTGATGGAGGGCTGCAAGGAGTCCCTGGGAGTTGGAGAGACAGTGGCCAGGCCACCTCCAACGGCCTGTGGAGATTCATCCTCACTCTCACACTGGTAGCACATTGCTTCTTCAGGCCCTTGGAGGAAGACTTCATTTGCAGAATTGTCTTTATTTTTATCCTCTCGTTGATTCTCACATAAATACTCAGTCCTACTTATTTCATTGTCATTTGTGGAGGGCTTAATACTATTTTCCTCTTCAGTATCATTTTTACTGACTTTTCCCATATCTGAATTCACTGATGGTTCTGAATTACTTATGGGTTCCACTGGGTCTACAGGAGACAAGGATTTCAACACAGCTTTAAAGGAAAAAAAAAAAAGAGAGAGAGAGAGAGAAAAGGAAAGAAAAAAGAAAAATAATAACTAAGAACCCTGCAAATGATTTAAACTTTAATTTAAACTCCTAGTAACTTTTTTCTTAAAAAGAACAATAAATAAATAAAATTTGTTAAAACTTTCTAGTAAAAGCAATAAAAATTTATAAGTCTAGGTAACTTTATAAGAAATAAAATGTCTAAGAAATGGAATGAGATGGAGATTTGATGAAGAGTTTTTTAAGCTATCATCTTATTCAAAAGCAGTGGTTCTCAAAGTGTGGTCCCTGAACCAACAAGGTCAGCCATCACCTAGGAATCTGTTAGAAGCAGAAATTCTTGGGCCCGATCTCCGTCTACTAAATTGGAAACTGTGGGAGTGGGGACCAGCTATTTTTTACAAGGCTCCACTTGATTCTAATGCACACTAAAATTTGAGAACCACTATTATTAAAGAATAAGCAGAGTGGTTTTCACTGAAAATGTGGTTCAATAAAAGGCCTAAAGTGACCCAGATAATAATTGCATCTTCAACATCTATATATATTTACAAGTTAAAACAGCATGGAAAAAAATATATAATTTAACTTACTTGCCAACCACCTAAGAAGACCCTAATGGAAGTAAAGTCACACTTCTACACATTTTGAAGCGCCACAGAAAAATACAAACAAAATGAAATTTGCATTCAAGATCAACTATGGAACAAAGTATAATACATAAACATATATCCATACGGTAGAAGTTGTCCTTGCAAGGAAAATGAAGTTTTATTTAGGCCCCTCTTGATGTTAGTAGGCAGTGGGTTGCTTGCTAGGCAGTCTCTCCTCCCAGCATGAGGGGTTAGTACAATACAATATATTATGAAGCAAGACGGAAGGAAAAAAGTGCTTCTTGAAGATCTGGCGTGTGTTTAAAAAATATTTTTGTAAAACGTGTCCATTTCCAAGAAACATCCCTATGCTGCAGTAACTCCACTAGAGAAGCAGCAACAACAGAAAAAAATGGCCACAGCAGGTTCCAGTGTAGAATTTCCCTCTCTAATTCCATTCGGACTTTACCCCTGTAGGCAGAGATGAAAACAACTCTGGAAGACGTACTGAAATTTTTCATGGGAAAAGCATTTTATGGTATCAGCAGTTTTATTTTAAAAAACTACACAGCATTATTGCCTTTTCAAATGCAAACTGCATTAAAAGCACATACCTGAAAATGAGACCCATTTCTCTCATTTGCCCATAATGTTAATAGGTAATTTTAAAACTATGAGAAGAAAATACTCAATAATAAAAGATACTATCCTATATACAATGCTATTTTCAGTATTTCGCACATTTTTTAGTTTATAAATATGCTAGTTCTTAACAAATGTAACATGTTAGAAGTTGACTGATATTCATGATTGTTGCTAATTGAATGGGGGGATATAATCAGCACAAGGGGAGGATCAGTTGACAAGCTTGTGAGAATATAGGCTTTTTTTTTTGGTAGTACTGAAGATTGAACCCAGGGCTTCATGCATGCCAGGCAAGTGCATTACCACTGGGCTACATTTCCAGCCTTTCAAAATTTATTGAGACAGAATTTTACTAAGTTGCCCAGGCTGGCTTTGAACTTGTGATCCTCTTGCCTAAGGCTTCCTAATAGCTGGGATGATGATATGCATTTTTGTCTCCTGATTTATATGCTATGGGTATAGCAGTAAACAGTGCCTGGCATATAATAGGTACTCAATAACTACTTGTTGAATGAATAATTTGCTAAATGAATACTGTGAGGGATACTAAAGTCCCTATTTAAGGAGACTGTAATTTAGTTCCAGAGACAAAAAACAAAACAAAACAAAACAAAACACCTGAACACATAGTACCTAAAAAATAACACAGTACCTAAAACATAACGCCATTAATCTCTGATTTAGGTAGGCCCGACATATGAACCAGCATATTACAGAAACTCTCCTTCTGCTTCTGGAAAGCCCTTAATCATTTCCCTTTTCTGCTATGCTTTGATGCTCAAGTCTTTCTTTGCCTCTCACTACAATGCCTCTCTAGTGTGAGGTTCCACAGAGCTAGGAGAGGTAGGAGGGCTAGAGCAATCAGAATTTAGAGGAGAGACTGGTAGACAGGGTAGCCTTGTAGAGACAGAATTCTTGGTAAAAGATTTGACATAAATTTTCTTTAAGAATAAAAATAGTTGGTGGAATTATATCTAATTAGCTGAACATAAATTGAGGAAGATTATCTTCACTAAAAACTGTGAGAAATATATTTGGACATGATGGATTCTTAAGATGAACAGGCTGATACTTACTGTAAGAGGGAGCCACTATAGCTTTTAAAATAAAGCAATTATCAATGTGCCATTTGAGAATTATCTGGAAAGAGCTTGTAAGATAGCTTAGGAAAAAAGGTACTGAAAATTGAAGTCAACTAGCTAAGAGACTATTATAATGAACAAGCATAATCTAGTGAGGACTTCAGCTATAAAGGGGGCTGATGGTGAGGAAGAGAAAAGTTAAAAGCATGAAATGTAGACATGGACCAGGGAGAAAAGGAGGGCTCAGAAGAGGAGAAAACCCTAAGGAGCATTCCAGAAGTACAGGCAATCTATATACTACTTCTAGTGAGAAAGGGAGAGGCAGGCAATTGATTTTGAGGGTCCATAAAGATACTTGCAAATGGAAGGGAAGTTCCACTCTAGCTTGTTGGAAATCACAGGAATCAATACATTAACTAGCAATTAGTCAGAATGATCAAACTGCCAACGATCAAGCCTCCCCTCACTCCTTCCCCTGACTCTTCTGAAGCATGACTGAAGGAAAGAAGGGTGAGTAATGTGAAGAAGCTTAAGCTAACCTTTGGTTTTATTCCCATTCAGCCTAGTAAACAAATTAGAGTATGGAGATAGGACACATAGAAAACTTCCTCCCCTCCTGTCTGCTGAAACACTCAGGTCACTTAAGTGACTCTAACTGGCCTAGGCCTTAACATACTTTTCAATAGTAAACACAGAGTTATTAATTTTGTGTTTCAACAAGTTATCTTTAATACAGAAAACAGTTCCAAATTTTAATTCACTAAATTTGAAAACATTTTATTTAAAATACCCCAAATTGTTTAATGTAATGTCCATTTCAAAAAAAAATTTAGTAAAAAATTAAATAACTGATAGAAAAGTCTAATTTTATATTTCTAGTACGTTTACATACCTATTTTTATTGATCAAACTGATTTGCTTCTAGAAGAAAAAGTACTATGTTTATTGGTAGTTACCTAGAATTTAAGCCATAAGAATTAGTTACAGTAAGATTCATGGTGTAAGAAAAAAAGAATCCCCTTCATTGAAATAAGCTTTTACTCTGAAGTCAGTGCTTACCATGATCGCTAAAGAGAAGTTGCTTCCATTTCTGCCTTTCTGCCTCCGAAGCTTTAAATCCAAGCACAGATTTTAATTCTTGCAGTACCCTCTTGGATTCTTCCTGCTCACGCTTCTGTCTCTCTTTGTCTTCTTGAGACAAGTAATAAAAATCATCTTTTCTGAAATCACTGTCCATATCTATATCATCTACATAAGCTTCTAATTCCTGAAAATGAATAAAAGAAAAAGCATTGTACTCCAGACAGTTTTCTAGCAGCATTTATTTATTTGTAGCTACATATCTCTTGAGTTAAAAAATGAGGACTTGGGGGGATATAGTTCATTTGGTAAAGTGCTTGCCTCACATTCATAAGGCCCTGGGTTCAATCCCCAGCACCACACACACAAAGAGGACTTGCTCTTGGCATAGGTCATTAAAGCATAGTTGAACAAAAACAGGGGGAAAAAAGAACAACATTTTAAAAAGATCTATAGATTAATTGAAGTATTCAAAAAGCTTAACACTTGATTCTAAAAAAGGGTTTAATAACACCCATGGTTATTTTTCCACGCCTGATAACCATACTACAGATATGGTTAAAATTATGTTTTTCTTGCTATGCAGAAACCAATCAAAACTAGGACTGACAATGTGACAGTTAATGTTGTTCTTATGAGAAATATCTATGGTTCTTTCTGACTTCCCAGGAAGTCTGAATACTCTTGCTAGAATTAGGGATCACCCCATTTTATTGTTCTCCACATCTCTAAGACCAGAGGGTAGAATATTTACTCACCCAGCTTTCCTTGCAGTTAAGATTTAGGCAAATGACATGGGATCCTCTAAAGAGATATACCTGAATTAGAAGTTTGTGACAAAAGAAGCAGGCACCTGAAGGCCATTCTGGCAAGGATGCCAACAGATCATGTTCTGGGAGGGAGTGGTTCTGAGGGTAGGATTTACTATTTGGCATTGAAAGGCAATGTCAGTGCCCCTGGGCTAAGCAATGAGGTCTTCAATGGAACAGTTCTTTTTGAGTGAGTTTGGCTGTTAACCCCAGCCTGGCTCAAGCCTGTTTATCTAGTCTTCTGAAATGTTCTGTAAGCTAGATAATGGTTTTAAATAAATTATCTGTCTGTTAAACTAGCTAATTTGGTTTCCATTTATAATTAAGAATATGAAAGATAATATGACTGAAGGAAGTTTTGCTTAGACTGAACAAGAGAAATCTTTGCACTAACTAATGCAACCATTAAAAATGTGTGGTATAACATCCATGAAGTCAAGTGCACAAATCTCAAGGTACAGATTTTTACACATATATGCATATTAGCAACCACCACACAAATCAAGATAAAAATGTTTCTAGCATTCCAGAAGGCAACTTTGGTCAAACACTAATCTTTATTGTGTTTAAGCACTTTAAAAGCCTCTATGAAGTAGACATTTGGACAAGAAATCTGGTGGTTTCAAGGAATTCAAATCCAGGGGATTAAGAACTAATGCCTTTGTATAAATTCAATAATTTACATTGTGATCTTGAAATTCATTAGAAACAGAAATGCAATCAGCTATTTGACAATTATGTCACTTAAAAGAAAGGATGGTGGGATGGAGTTGTAGCTTAGTGGTGGAGCACTTGCCTCACACGTGAGAGGCCCAGGGTTCAATCCACAGTACCACATAAAAATAAATAAATAGATAATAAAGATATTGTGTCCATCTAAAACTAAAATATATTTTAAAAAAAGAAAGGAAGGAAGAAAGAAAGAAAGAAAGGCAGGCAAACTTTGTATGTGAAACTCTTTGGAAGTAATAAAGGGTAATTTTCCTTCTTACCTGCTCCTCGGGGATTGGATCTTTGTCTGCAATGTGTAGAGTAGGCTGCATCAAAGGTACTACAGTACAATGTGGGTTTTCACAGGCTACTTCAGGCTTTCCTTTAAAAGGTGGAGGGCAGAATAAAGATGAGAATCAGGCCATACACAAATGAATGGACATATAGCAAAAATATCCCTGATACTAAAACTCTTTTGTCAATTTCAAAGTTCATCTTGTTCTAAATTTTATCACAAAAAAATCAAAGATACTAAAGTTAACAACACCAGCAGATTTACAATTGAGTTAAACTTTTGGAGAAGAGGACTGGTTTTCTCTCTTCTTTGCCTCACAACAGTATCTGATACACACTATAAATACTATTGAACCAAAAAAATCTGTTCAGAGAATAGGAACAGTCTTAAAGACAGATCACCACTTTTCCCCCTAATGCTAAGGATGGAACCTAGGGCCTCACACATGACAGGCAAGAAGCGCTCTACCACTGAGCCTCATTCCAGCTTCCAAGATACTACTATCAATAACAATAAAGAGGAACATTCAACAATGTGCTGATAATCCAGCTCTCTAACAAAGCAAAAATCCAATTCATAGCACTTGCTAATTTCTAATCTCCATGGTATAAATTCACTCACCATGGCCAATTTTAATCTATAAATGGTGTTCAACCAGCTCAAAGAATATTTAATACTCCATGGAGAACCTGCTCCAGCATGTAATCCGTTTAATAAAAATCTACCAAGTACCAATCATAAGCTCAATAGTGAATTTACAGTCCTGGGAGAATATGAGGTATATGTATGCTCTATTGAATTTATCTGAAGAAATTTTTACTTTAGCATATCAGTAAAACATTTGGGGGAAAGGAGTGGGTATCTTTCAAGTTTCAACTTCATCTTTTTCTCCTCTTCGGTCTTATACAAACCTAATCATGTGTTTGCATTTCCTTATATTATACTTATTTTTTTCCTTTAAAAAAAAACATTTAGTGAACACAATATCTTTATTTTATTTTTAAGTGATGCTGAGGCTTGAATCCAGAGCCTCACACATGGTAGGTAAGTGGGCTACCTCTGTGCCACAACCCCAGCCCATATACTTATTCTTTTTCTGTGAAAAGTTTGAGGTGGAAAAATAAAATTAACCACCATCAAGCGGCCCAACTAAAACAAGAGGACTTTGAATGGATTTCTCTGATATTTAAAACCATTATCTAAAATTATACCTTAAAATTTTTCTTTGAACTCTAGATTTTTAACCACATGTTCATAGTAAAAACTTCACATAGTACAGAAGGGTATAAAATAAAAAAAGTTCCCTGATCACTTTATCCCTCAATTCTACTTCCTGAGAGCAAGAATGATTGTAAAAGACCTTATATTAAAATGCTACTTTGTCCATTTGTTTAAATACAGTCTGTGGTGCTTTCATACTACTAAAGGAGCTGAATAGCTGCAACAGACACCAGATGGCCTACAAAACAAAATATTTGCTGCCTGGTCTTTCACAGAAAAAAAAACTGCAGACCCCTGTGCTGGAGCAGTTTCTCAAATTTTAATGTGCAAACACATGATCAGATCTTGTTAAAATGCATATTGATTTAAAAAAATCAGGGATTACACTATAACAATCTGAAGGCCCTAGAGGTTATGAATTTAAGAATTTTAGATAATGTGATATTTTTAATAATGGGAAACTATTGTTTTCTGGAGGTTCTTTTCTATTGTAATTCTCTTTTAATGCTAGGGACTGAACCCAGGTCCTTGTACATAGTAAGGAAGTACTCTACCACTGAGCCACACCCCAATACTCTATGGCAATTCTTAAGTAATGCCAATGTAAAAATATGAAACCACATTGAGTATTAGAAGAAATCAGGAGGGAATCTGTAAAATAAATCCAAAATAAAGAATCTTTTAAAATATGATATAAAAACCCATAAGAAACAAAAAAAGTAAGAATATCTTTATGGGCTGGGGATGTGGCTCAAGCGGTAGCGCACTCGCCTGGCATGCATGCGGCCCGGGTTTGATCCTCAGCACCATATACAAATAAAGATGTTGTGTCCGCCGAAAACTAAAAAATAAATATTAAAAAATTCTCTCTTAAAAAAAAAAAAAAGAGGGGCTGGGGATGTGGCTCAAGCGGTAGCGTGCCCGCCTGGCATGCGTGCGGCCCGGGTTCGATCCTCAGCACCACATACAAACAAAGATGTTGTGTCCGCCGAGAACTAAAAAATAAATATTAAAAAAATTCTCTCTCTCTCTCTCTCTTAAAAAAAAAAAAAAGAATATATAAGGAAAAACCTATCATAAACAAAGACCAAAAGTTACATGATAAACCAGGAAAACTGTTGCATTTTATTTCACAGAGGATCATTTCACTAACACATAAAAGAGCTTCCACAAATCAATAAGAAAGTGGGCAATCAAAATAATGGACAAAGTGTATGGATAGACAGCTGTCAAGATGGGAATTACAAATGGCTCCTAAACACAGGAAAAGGCTGAAAACACCATAAGCATTCATTAAGAGATTTAATGAATAGTACAATATGCTGTCAATTTGAAAGAATAAGATATATTTAATAATTTTAATATATAATAATTTAATATACAATAATATATTAATGATAATAATTTAATACATAATATTATATAATATATAATGATGTAATAATATTTAACAAGATATTTATAATGAATTTTAAAATAGTAATATTTGTTTATAATAACATATGTATAAAATCTTTAGAAGGATACAGGAGAAACTGGAAGAAGCAGTTACCTATAGGGAAGGCAATCCAGTGATTGGGGCAACTTCATAGAAACTTCATTATCACCTTTCTACTCTTTTGTGCTTTTAAAATTTTAAGGACATAAGCACCCTATTTTTTTCATGAAATAAATATTCAAAGAAAATTTTAAGAATGCTATGGTCAACTAAAGTATCAACTGGTGGGAATCAGTGCGATACAGGTACCAATGAGGAACTAACTTGTAGCTGGCAAGAGGTAGCCTGTATGAATTGTCTGGACGCTGGGGATAAAGAGCCAGCAAGGGATGGCAAGATGCTGGGACCTGAGTTGGAAAGACTCTTGGCTGGCATGGGCTGGTATAGTCAAAGCAAGATAGTCCAGAATGGGAAGAACTCTGAGAAGGTTGAGTTAGTGGCCATGTAGTTTATGAAACAGCCCACAGCGTCAAGTGATTAGTTTTATACAAAGGGATTGAGTTAAGTAAATATTTTGAAGAAGATGGTAGCCAAGTTTTTCACAATCAGGGAAGGCAGGTACAAATATGGGAAGGCAGAGGACAGAATAAATCATGTACTGTTGAAATTGAATTAGAGGTATTAGAATGACTCATGGTTTATAACATGGACAAATAGATATAGAAATAGAAATAGATGTGTCTATGTGTCCATATATACATATACAAATTTTGTAGCTCTATCCATACACTGAAAGGGTATAAAAGCAGTAACATTCCAGGGGCAAGATGTATACCTAGCCCCCAGATTTTGGTTTCTAAATGCCATTCTCTGTTAAAAAGGACTAGGGTTTCTTAGAGACATGGCTGATGTCAAGGGTAGTGCAAGGAAAGTACAAGAAAGTAATGGAAGTGCTCAAAGAATGACACTGATACAAATCAGCTCAAACAGGCTGCCGCTGGCCAAATCTTGGGCAAATTGAGCAACAAAGTCATAATAGTACTGAGTTATGAGTCACTGGATAAAATTAGAATCCATAAGTGTTTACTGATATAAATAAGTAAATGTGTGGGGAAAGGGGATATTTTATCTTACAGTAGCGTGCCAACTAATAAATGTAAAAGGAAAAATAGAACTAGAAAATTACCAATTGGCAACCATCACAGAAACATTGAATGCAAGCAATGACTAAAGCAAATGGATCCAAATAATATAAGCTAAATTATTTTATTCTCTTTAAAAAATTCACTTTTTGGCATATAATTCTATGAGTTTAGTAAATTACATAGTCATAGAACTACCACAACCAAAATACAGAATTGTTCTATCACCCAAATAAAAACCTATGCGGGCTCTTTATAACTTATTCCTCCCTCCATCTCTAATTCCCAGCAACCACTGATCTGGCTTCTGATCCTCTGCAATTTTAATAATACCATATAAATGAAATAATATAGCATAAAGTGATTTCAGTCTGGCTTCTTTCACTTGGCATAATGCTTAGAGATTCATTCACACTATTACATGCTTCACTCCTTTAATCCCTGAGTAGCTTTCTATTGGATGGATGAATGTAACAATTTATTCAGCAGCTGAAGGATAAATGCCCTACAGTTTTTACTAATTACGAACAAAGCCACTGTAAATATGTATGTAGTTTTGTGAAAACTAAGTTTTTGTTTTATTTATTTATTTAGCAGTGCTAGGGCTGGAACCCAGGACCTTGTATGCACTAGGCAAGCACTCTACCGCTGAGTTACACTCCCAGCCTACGAACAAAAAGCTTATTATTTTTTGTTCTTTCGAAATGGGGTCTTATTGTATTACCCAACCTGCTCTTCAACTTCTTATCTCAAGTGATCCTCCTGCCTCAGCCTCCCGAGTGGCAGAGATTACAAATACACACCACTGCACCTGGCTGAACATGAAGGTTTGATAGCCTTAGCTAAATACATAGGAATAATATTTCTGAGTCATATGGGGTATATGTATTAATAGTGAGTAAAATTTTGATGAGAAAGGCTATATTTATACAACCTCTAAGTATTTCTTTCTTCTTCTTTTTTTTTTAAAGAAATTAACCTTTATTTTTTGCTGTTGTTTTAATATGTGCCAAGGATCAAACCCAGTGCCTCACCGATGCTAAGCAAGAGCTCCACCACTGAGCTACAACCCCAGCCCCTCTAAGTATTTCTTCACAAAATATTTATCATGAAAGATTTTAAGAATAGGCTAAAGAGTAACAGAGAACACAACAACTAAATGTGCACATGATCTAGATTTAGACATATTAAAAAATACTACTGGGATAACTGGTGAGATTTGAATAGATTCTGAGGATTAGATGGCAATATAACATCAGTGTTAATTCCCTGGTCTTGATGGCATACTGAAGTTACGTATGAGAATGTCCATGTTTTTCAAAATTACAAAATCATTATCCAAAGTACATGCATGAAGACACGAATTGGTGTGGATCTACTTTGTATATAACCAGTGATAGGAAACATTTGTGCTCTATATGTGTAATATGAATTGTAATGCATTCTGTTGTCATATATAAATAAAAAAATTAATTAAAAAATCTATTCTTTTTTTATTATTTTGTTTATTTATTTTTATGTGGTACTGAGGATCGAACCAAGGTCTCAAATGTGCGAGGCGAGTGCTCTACCGCTGAGCCACAACCCTAGCTCCCACCCCCTCCTTTTTTTTTTTACAGAAGTATTTAGGGTGATGGGACTTCATGTCTGCAACTTACTCTTCTATTGTTCAGAGTAACACCACTGTCAAAAGAATTATCCAAACATACAGACTCATACAAAGAAAAAACAAATGTGGTAGAATGGCAACAACCAGGGAATCTGGATGAAAGGTATTTTGAACTACTCTTACAATTTTTCTCAAAATTTGAAGTGACTTTTAAATAAAACACAAAAAAATGTGACTGACTAAAGCACTTGTTTCTTAAAACATTCATTTTATTTAAATTTGTATAGCCATGGCCACTAGGAGGGTTAAATGGGATAATACTTTTATTTTTTGGTGCTGGGAATTGAACCCAGGGCCACCTGCATGCTAAGCACATGCTCTACCATTGAGCTACCCTACCCTCTTAGTCAAGGATGCTCTTTTAATACCACAAATATTTCTGAATATTTCTCCTTATAGAATATGTACTCAAAAGTTCTAGAATAGAAAAATTAATGTATTTGATCACTTGCAGATATTAAAATTCTTTAGTAGATTTGTCCTTTGGAGAAAAAAATTATGAACTACAATTATTATTACATTTAGATATAAAGTAATATATAAAAAAGGGCTGGGGCTGAGTGGCAAAGCACTTGCCTCACACATATGAGGCATTGGGTTTGATCCTCAGTACATAAAAATAAATAAACCAAATAAAGGTATTGTGTCCATGTATAAATAAAAAATATTTTAAAAAATAAAAATAAATAAACAATAAAATAAAAGGCATTCTATCTGTCTACAAAAAAAAAGCAGTTTGGTGGAAAAACCTCAAGACTGCTTCTCTTACCTCCCAGTACGGGGGATTAAACCCAGGGCCTCACACATGCTAGGCAAGTGCTCTAACACTGAGTTGCATTCACAGGCTTTTTTATTTTGAGACACTTCTCTGCTAAGTTTCATAAGCTTGCCTTGAACTTGCAATTCTCCTGCCTCAGATGACCCTGCCCCGTGAACCCCGTAGCTGGGAATACAGGCATGAGACTGCCTTTTTATGCCAGGCATGGTGGAGCACATCTGTGATCACAGTGACTTGAGAGGCTAGGGCAAATTAGAGAAGTATCAAAAGTTGGAGGCCAGTCTTATCAACTCAGCAAGGCCCTAAGCAACTTAGGAAGACACTGTCTTAAAGTGAAAAATAAAAAGGGACAGGGATGTGGCTCATTGGTAAAGTGCCCCTGGATTCAGTCTCTAATATCAAAAAAAAAAAAAAAAAAAAAAAAAAAGGATTGTGTTTTTACCTAGCATCACAAAGTGATCTGATATATTACCATTAAATAATGGTGTTTAATACATGTGGACCCATAAAAATGAATAAGCAGCACTATTATATATAATTTATATATTATTTCTGAATAACTGATGTAAGTATCTTAAGATAACTTAAGTATGAGGACCCTAACTATCAAACTCATTATTTTATCCTAAAGGTAACTTTTATTACCCTAACTGTAAGTGTCTCTAGAAGTTCTGATAATAGAAAATACTAACAAAATTTATCTCTTCATTTCATATTTTATAAAAGGAGACACGATTCACTGAATGTTCTAAATTCAGAATAAGAAGCTGGGCATGGAGACACACACCTGCAATCTTAGCAGCTCAGGAAGTTGAGGCAGGAGGATCATAAGTACAAAGCCAGCCTCAGCAACCTAGGTAGTCACTAAGCAACTTAGCATGACTCTATCTCTAAATAAAATATAAAAAGGGCTGGAGATGTGGCTCAGTGGTTAAGTGCCCCTGGGTTCAATTCCCAGTACCACATACACATACACAAAAAAGAGCTAAGCCTTTGAATTCAGTGTCAAGTTGTACATATAAATTCAATATATATATATTTTTTTAGTAAACTAAGAAATTTTGCGGTCAGTTTCATCATGCAGACAAGAAATCCATCTAATAAAATTCCACCAGAGAGAAATGTGCATGTTCAATAAACACAGACCAGGAAAATCTCTCACAGGTACCTTTTTTATCTGTATTTCTCCGTAGCAGTTTGTCCACCTGAGAAATGGCTTCTTCCCAGCAATTGTTGCTTGCTTGAACATGGGGCTCAATCAACTTTAACTTCTGTTCTAGGATTTGATAAGCTTCTGACACTAGTTCTTGTGTTTCTTTAGTACAAACAAGCTTTTCAAGTTCATCTTCAAGAATTATAACCCTGGGCAATAGAGAAAAATAGGAACAGACTTCTAAAATATGAAATGAAAAATTTATAACTAATAAGGTTTACTTAAAAAATCAAGCTTATTGGGCTGGGGATGTGGCTCAAGTAGTAGCGCGCTCGCCTGGCATGCACGGGGCGCTGGGTTCGATCCTCAGCACCACATAAAAAAAATAAAATAAAGATGTTGTGTCCACCGAAAACTAAAAAATAAATATTAAAAAAATTCTCTCTCTCTCTTAAAAAAAAATCAAGCTTATAAGATTAAAAAAAGGATTGAAGATGAATGGTGGTGATGGTTACATAGCAATGCGTATGTATTTGATGCCACTGAACTGTACATTTAAAATGGGTAAATGAGGCTGGGGTTAGAACTCAGTGATAGAGCACCTGGCCAACCCGCATGAGGCTCTGGATTTGATTCCCCAGCACACCCTCCCGCAAAAAAGGCTTTTTTTTTTTTTTTTAAATCATGTATTGATTAAAAAATATTTCTTGGGACTGAGGTTGTGGCTCAGTGGCAGAGCACTTGTCTAGCAGTGTGAGGCACCAGGTTTAATCCTCAGCATCACATATAAATAAATAAAAAATAAAGGTACATCAACAACTAAAAAGTGTTTAAAAAAATTTCTTACATGCATACTAGTCATTTTATGAGCTATAAAGATAAATTAAACCCATCTCCTACTTATTAAAAATTAATAACTGAAACAGGAAAATTATCATATATATAAAAGTACAATATATATATATAAAGTTAAAACACTTTATTTTCACTTTACACATAAGGAATTAGGTTCAGAGAGTTAAATAAACTTGCCCAGAGTCACAAAGCTGGTACCGCTAGTTTGAATCTAGGCCCCAAAAGATAACACAACAGAGACACAGATAGTCATATGCAAATTCAGATGAGAGGAAAATTATGACCAGCTATGGGCACAAATGGGGAACAGCTAAGGAAGAGATACTTTGAGGAAACATTGAAGGATGTATAATTTTGTGCTTTTACAAAAAGTAAATGGAACATGGGAAAGGGCATTTACACACTTTTGGCAGGACTGAAGGAAAGGAATGAGAAATAAAGATAGAAACTTGGACTGTGGCCAGATTATGGCCACCTTTTCCATAGAATGTTTTGTATAGACTTTAAGCTGCTGTACTTGGAAACCAGTGAAGATTTTCAGTTAAGTGAGAAAGCAAATACATGCCTCAGCAAACTTAACCTGGCAGTGCACACTGTGGAGGTCAATGCCCTGGTGCAGGAAAGAGGCAATATGGTCTGACAGGGAGGCATGGAGAATGGGAAGATCCGAGGGGACAAGGGAGAGAGAGGAGTGAAACACAAAAAGAGGGTTTCAAAATATGAAACATAAAACAATTTTTTAAGATAATACTTTTAAAAGTGGTGTATAGCAGCACTACAGAACAAATCATATAATAATTTGTGAATGATACACTTTCTAGTTCAAATAGTTAGAAAGGTTAGATATAGTAGCATATACAGAAATTATATTTTAAAACAGGACACATACCTCCTGTATATCCTACAATTCCTACCCAGGGTACCAAGCCTCTTTTCTGTATTCATGTCACCCATGGTAGCATTCTTCCTTTCCTAAGCCATCTTCCTTCCCTTTAATGCATTTCAATATACCCAGTGTATTTCTGATTCTATTCCCCAAAATTAATTCTTCGGACACTCTGGCTTTGCTAATATAACCTTTTCATGGAAATCTTATTTTTCTCTGTTATTGATCCAATCTCTACCCACTCAAGTGGAGAGAGCCTTATCTCCCATGTTCCCTGCTAAGAATTGGGTTAGCAGTTACCTGCTTTCTTAGAATAGAAGATATAGACCACTAGAACACCCTACCTCATGGCTTTTTCATTTTCCTTAGGAGCTTTATATCTGACTATCCCAGCTCTCCAACTGATGGGTAAAACTTATCTTCTCAAAATGTCTTTCTGACCTTAAATTTCTATCCTCTATATACATCTTATTTTTCCTCATTCCACTTAAACTAGGGTTTTCATTTTATTGATATGTCAAGTCCTCTTGACCCATTTTCTTATCTTATAAAATTAACTGCTGTCCTTCTACTATTTCTTGCTTGGTAATCTGGGTCAAAGACATCAACTATAATCTATGAGTTCAATAAATTCCTATGACCTTCCTGAACACCAACACAACAAGAACTCAATCATCCATTTGATCCAGTCCTACAGTATGGACATTTAACTGTTAGAGAAAAGTTGCGCTGGGAATGATTATATTCAGATTACATTCTGGTTTCTGTAGTATGGCGGTTATCACTTTCGCCTCATAGATATTATATGCTTTGACTCAGATTTTAAATGTGAAAATTTCCATGCAGAAATAGATGAAATACAAAGGAAGCCTGGGACTTGTGAAAAAGCAGAATACCCTCACTTATTGGGATACTAAGATATCAGCTATGGCCCCCTTCTCCCTCCTGGGAGAAGTCTACATTACCCCTTTTTAAATAAACCCTGCTTTATATGCGAAAGAAAGAAAGAAATAGAGAAAATAGGGTTTTATTTATTTATTTATTTTGCAGGACTGAGGGTTGAACCCAGCCTCAACCACTCTAGGCAAGTGCTCTACCACTGATCAATATCCTCAGACCTTTATTTATTTTATTTTGAGGCAGGGTCTCACTAAGTTTTCAGGTAGGCCTTGAACTTGGGATCTGCCTGCCCTGAGATTCCAGAGTTGCTGGAATTACAGAAATGTGTCATGACACCTGGCTGAAAATAGTATTTTTTTAAAATATATTATTTATTTTTTTAGTTGTAGTTGGATACCATATCTGTATTTTACTTACTTATTTATTTTATACCTTTATTTCATTTATTTATTTTTATGTGGTGCTGAGGATCAAATCCAGGGTCTTGCATGTGCGAGGCCAGCGCTCTACTGCTGAGCCACAATCCCAGCCCTGAAAATAGTATTTTTAATTGATAAAGGTATACCAAAGTAGGACAAAAAAAGTTTAAAATTATGGTAGAACACCCAATATTATGCAAAACAGAAGATCAACAAAACTGTGGGCCCTACCTCTTCCTGTTCAACTGAAGTCAAAAAGTTAGTTCTGTGCCACAGAAAACTTTACAAATCTGCTATAATTTCTTTAGAAAAATAGCAACATATAACTCTCCAACTGTGTAATAATGGCTCTTGTACTATTGCAATACTGGCAGGTATTCTCTCAGACTGCAGATTCCGGTTTTAAAACCCTACCTTAAGGGAGTTAAAAGCAGCTCATTTTTTCATAATCTTCTCCATTTCAGCTTTCAAAGACAATGAACACTGGCTTTGTCCTATCTTTCTATGTTTTCTGTTAAAATCAGGAAAAGTAAAAACTATAAGTGACTCTCCAAAGTTAGTAATTACAAATCTTTGTTTCTCTGCTACATTTATAGCTATAAACCATCCTTCATGCTGCATGTCTCAATTTTGTTTCTTCTTTTTAACCAGGACACAAGCCAACAACTACAATGGCACAAGAATGAAGCTTGCTAATCACAGGGACATTTCCTTAAATGGCCTCTAAACTTACTCATTCAGTAATGCTTTCAGATGGAGTTGCAAGCTGCGCACTGCTGTGTGAACATTATTTAGTTCTTTTGACTTCTGCTGAGTTTTACGCTGGGGTACTGACTGGTGCTGGGTTTCAAAGTACCGGTAGAACTCATAGCTGCGTTTAAGCTCTTCTAAACAGGCAGAATGAGCATGAGGTAGACCTTGAATCACATCAGACAGAATACGATGAGGCAAGAGTGCTGGAGAAAGTAAGGGCCCTGGAGGTGAATTGGCTGAAGAAAGCAACAGGGCTAACCGTCTGAAGAACTCTGAACTCTGTGCCACCCAGAGTTGAAACAACACCTAAAGGAAAAAAAAAAAGAAAAAAAAGAACTGACCAATAAAAAACACTGGTAAACATTTAAAACAAACTACAAATCTTCTTATCTGCTTATCTTAACTTTTGGTTTAAAATTTTTACTTTATCCGAAATAATGAATATAGTAAGTTGAAACCAACTCTTTTTTTTATGTGCAATTATCTTTATTTCAATTCCTAAGTATATTAGTTTGACCTCAGACATGTTAGGCATGTCACAAACAGTAGATAACTGAAACCAACATGAATTTTGCTCAAGACATCTAGTTATGTTCTTCTGCAATCCACTTATTAAATAAAAAACATGACTGGTTTTGTTTGGAACTTGGAAAAAGCCAAGTAATATTTTACAGTCATTATGACAAAGTTTAACTTCACAGGCCCTGTAAAAAGATTTTCTTTTTGGGAGCTGGAGATTGAATCCAGGGCCTTAAAGTCCTTATTTTCTCATATCTTCCCATATCCATAACTTTCCTGAATTCTTTAATATCCACAAGTACCTGATGAACTGGGTAGCCTATTACATCAGCAGTCAATGTTTAAATATGGGGTGACAGAAAAACTTGTATTCCTAATTAATTCTTAGATGATTTTCAAACTCTTAATATTGGAAAAGCACAATTTTCTATTTAAATGACTATTATAAAAAGGAGACAAACGAGCCAATTCATGCAATGATATTCAGACCCTGTTCTAAAAAATAAATCATATTACCAATTCTTACTGCTGAGTAAAGAAACTGAGTATCAGGTCATCAGCTAAAGTTGAATGTTACTCCTCCAAGCAAGAGGTATTTAGAATCATGAATGAATTCAAAGCCAACAAGCATAGAGTGAAAGCTTTACTCTGAAAGCTGATCTAACTCTTATGATTAGCCAAGAATATTATATATTATTATATATATACCAAATTATGTAGTCATCACACATGGTAACTTATGATCTCAGTATAGTAAGTAACACATATGTGATTTAGTACAGTTCCACCATAGATGAGAGGTGCTGATGAAACACAATATATTTATTAAAAGTGAGTCTTTCTTCATGAATTATTTAACAATTTTTTACACAGAGAAAATACTAGAATTATTACATGTCTTCTTATTTAACTGTTAAAACTATTTGTAGCTTGGTGCAGTGGTGCACACCTGTAATCCCAGCAGCTCGGGAGGCTGAGACAGGAGGATTGCGAGTTCAAAGCCAGCTCAGCAATGGCGAGGTGCTAAGCAACTCAGTGAGACCCTGACTCTAAATAAAAGTACAAAATGGGGCTGGGGATGTGGTTCAGTGGTTGAGTGCCCCTGAATTCAATCCCTGGTACCAAACAAAAAATAAAAAACAAACTGCATTTGTTCATTCAGAAAATACTTATTGAGCACTACAGTGGGTAAGGCAATGTTTGGGGTACTGACAATACAGCTTCATATGAACAAAAATGAAAAAGAAAATCCCCACCTTGATGAAACTTCATTCAAGTATGGGGTGGAAACAGATAATAATCAACAAGTAAAATATAGTATTTCTTGGTTAATGGAGATATGGAGTAAAATACTGTAGAGAAGGGGAATAGCCAGTGTGTACATGTGCATACATAGATGAGAGAGGAAAGGAAAGGGAAGAAAAGAGAGGAAGGGAGTTGGCCAGGAAGGTATCTATTAGCATCACTTGAAAGAACCAATCCATGACACCATCATGAGGGAAGAGAATTCTAGGGAGCAGGAGGTTCAAGTGCAAATCAGGATGCTCCCTTGGCAGGAGCATCTAAAAGAATAAAGTTGACATAGCAAACTGCTGCTTTTAAAAAGGCTAATTTTTACCTAATTACTGTCATATTATATATTTAATCCAAAAACTCAGAAGCATGTATGTTTTTATCTGTTTATTCTTTGGATAAGGAAGGTGTTCTGAGTAAGAGGATACCCATAATTTATGGGCAACAAGAAAACTTTGATTTAAATCATTTCACAATATGTAGATTCATTTTTAAAATCAGAAAACACAGTACTTTATAGTTTAAAAAAACTAGTTAAGGGCTGGCTGTGGTTGTGGCTCAGTGGTAGAGTGCTTGCTTGGCATGTGTAAGGCAATGGATTCGATCCTCAGCACCATATAAAAATAAACAAAAGTAAAACAAAACTATTGTGTACAACTACAACTAATTTTTTTTTTAATTTAAAAAATCAAGGGGCTGGGGATGGGGCTCAAGTGGTAGCGCACTCGCCTAGTATGTGTGAGGCACTGGGTTCAATTCTCAGCACCACATAAAAAATAAAATAAAGATATTATGTCCACCTAAAACTAAAAAAAAAAAATTTAAAAAAAAAAAAAAAACAACAGCAAAAAACTAGTTAAAAAGTTAAAAGAGCTGAATATAGTGGCACCTGACTATAGTATCAAGTACTGGGACAGCTTCTGTACTAGGTATTTTATAGGTTTCTTTCAGAAGGTTGTTTTCCAAACACAGGTGCAACATTCCCTATTGCTAAGCGTTCCTGAGGGAATATATATGAACAATAAAAAGATTAGTTCAAAATGTATTTTCTTTAGAGGGCACAATGAAGATTACAAAGGAAAACTGATTCATTTGTAAACCATCTTTCATTAGGTCTTTTTATAAAACTTCAGTGTTACTCTTTTGAGAAAGAAGTTTCTTTTAAAATTTAATTTATAAAAATCCATTTTAAAATTCCTTATCTAAGTACAGTGGAAACTATAAAAGGTGGAAATACCTATGTTTTGAATATAACAGGAACTTGTAGTAGTTTACAGATATCAAGATAAGGTTTATTCTGGAGCCTGATAGTCCTAACAACTACACAATTATTGAGTTTGATTACAGATGAGCTATTTGTCAAAATAAGGCAAATATAAAAATGCTGTTATAGCCTGATGTGAAAAACAATATGGACAAGAAAAAGGATCCAGTCATAATTGGCATCATTGTAGGGGTAAGATGGGGAGATAAGGCCAGAGAACAGTCTCACATTTTAGAGCAGGTCATATCACCTGCAAGGTAAAAATTCAGCTAACATTAATTGCTTACTCTATGCAAGGTATAACTGGCAAATATTTTATCCTTTGGAGGTAGGCACTGTAATTATTTCATCTTCATAAATGCAGAACCAATGATTTGCTTAAGGCTCCATAAAGAGGCAAGAAAGAACTAGAGAGAAACCTATAAAAGACTAACTCCATGGGACCCACCTTTTCTCTTTGCTGTCTATATTTTAGGTTTGAACATAGTTAGAATTTAGCAAGCTTTTATTTATTTAAATTAGTCAATTTATTTTTTTGGTACTGGGGATTGAACCCAGGAATGCTTTACCACTGAGCTATATTCTCTATATCACTTCTTTTTATTTATTTATTTTTTAAATATTGAAACAGAGTCTCATTAAGTTGCCAAAGCTGGCCTTGAACTTTGCCATCCTTCCACCTCAGCCTATTAAGTTGATGGGTTAACAGGCATGTGCCATGCCCCACCACCCCAACCCATGCTGAGTCCTTCTTAAAGAATACTACTTATTACTATTTTTGAATACCCATTGTACGACAAGCCTGCTATAGGTATATTGTTTGTCTTCTCATTTAATCTAACACTCGACAAGGCAGATGTGGCAACTTCCTTTTACAGATAAGTTCAAAGAATAGTTTATTCAAGGTCAAATGATCAGTTAGAATCAGAGCTAATATATAAACTCAGCTCTGCTCAATTTTTTTTTGCAGGGGGTGAGGAGGGTAGTAGGGATTGAACCCAGAGGTACTTAACATCTTTTTACATTTTTAAAATTTTTAGACAGAATTTTGCCAAGATGCTTAGGGCCTTGCTACATTGCTGAGGCTGGCTTTGAACTTGTGATCCTCAGCCTCCTGAGCTGCTGGGATCAAAGGAGTACACCATGGCACCTGGCTTTAATTTTCTTCTTTAAGAATTTCTCAGATTGTCCTTTGTAAAAACTTTATTTCCTTTGTAGAGTAAAGCATGGTCATGATATTGAATTTGGAAGTGAATGAAATTACCTGAAGTTCTACCACCCCAACAAGTATTATTAATATTTTGATATTTTCTCCTGGTCTTTCTTAATATTTTTTTAATATTTTTTTTTAGGTGTAGATGGACACAACACAATGCCTTTATTTATTTTTTATGTGGTGCTGAGGATCGAACCCAGGTCCCGCCCATGCTACGCGAGCGCTCTACCGCTGAGCCACAATCCCAGCCCTCCTGGTCTTTCTTAAAAAACAGAATTCTGGCCACACTGCTTATATATGTATGTATCCTGATTATTTCACTGGAAACAGATGTTTCTCTAAGACTTTACAAAATCTTCATAAGCAAGTCATAGCTATTACTCAGTCTTTCAATATGTAAATCTAGTCCTTTATTGCTAAGCACTTAGGCAATGCTCCATTTTTTGCTATTATATACATAAAGCTTCACTGTATTTAGAATAATTTCCTTAAGAAAATTTTGCAGGGCTGATGATGTGGCTTAACTAGCATGTATAAGGCCCTGGATTCAACACCTAGTAGCACCAAAAAATAAAAATAAGATTTGCATAAGTATGATTACTTTTTTTAAAGAGAGAGAGAGAGAATTTTTTAGTTATTGGCAGACACAACATCTTTGTTTGTATGTGGTGCTGAGGATCGAAACCAGGCCGCACGCATGCCAGGCGAGCATGCTTCCACTTGAGTCACATCCACAGCCCCGCATAAGTATAATTATTGATCTAAAGGATAAAGATAAAGGCTCTCTTTTAAAAAAATTTTTTATTGTATTTGTATTTCTGCTTTGTGAACTGCCAGTTCATTAACCTGACCTGTCTTCTATAAGCTTTGTTTTTGTGTTTGTCTGTTTTTGCAGTGCTGGGGATCAAACCCAGGGCTTTATGCATACCAGGCAAGCAACCTACCACTGACCTACACCCTCAGCCCTTTAAGTTTTAGTACTTTAGTACTCTTTATATGGGAAAAATACAAGCCCTTTGTTATAAATCATTGTAATTTTTTGAGCTTCTTGTAATTAAAATATGCAATATTTGGTCAAATTATGTTATGTGCAGGTACAGACATTTAAAAATGAATCCCACTATTAAGTATAATTAAAATGCATCAATTAATAATAAAAAAAAAGAAATAAAATTAATTAGTATTTTAGGTTTGAAGTTTAATTTTTATGCAATCAATCATATCCTTTCATGTGGATTTTACTATATGAAAAATCTTTTCCTTAATATATGAAATATAAAAAAAATCTGAGGGACTTTTTTTCAAGGGAAGATATAGTTGTTGCTTTTTTTCAGTTGTAGATGGATAGCATGCCTTTATTTTATTTGTTTATTTTTATGTGATGCCAAGGCTCGAACCCAGTGCCTCACACATGCTAGACAAGTGCTTTGTCACTGAGCTACAGCCCCATCCCAAGATATAAATCTTAAATGCTTTGTCCATGTTTGTTTAAACAAATGGCTGACCATAAAAATCACTCATACTGGCTTCCTATTAAAGTAATTCCCTTATTTCCAGGCTCTAATTTAAGGTATTTCTTATATAAAGAATTTTAAGAATTTTGATACGAAACATAAATTTGATCTGTATGATTCTCTCAGTTTTTAAAAACAGTGTCACAAACATCATTAACATATTTATGATGATGATATTCAGCGAACAAGGAAGGTGAACAAATACACCCATTTATGTTCAGAAAGCACAGGTTTAATCCAAGTGTGTCTGTCTTTTCTTCGATATTTTTCTTATGCAAATGGATTACCTTTAATGCAGGTAGGCTGAAGCCATCTGTAAGGTTATGTGCTTCCTCTTCTGAAATCTGCTCTTCACTAAGACCAAGGCCCAGCTCCTTAAAAGGCACCACACAGATGTAGTTGGTAACATTGTCACTCTCAGAGTTCAGGGGGTAGGTTAAATCAGGTTAAGGCAATCAACAAAGCCTTTTCATTAAACCATAAAAGAAACAGTCAAATTGTTCAAAATTACGTTTACTAGTCTATATTGTGAACTTTTAAAAAAATATATATTTTAAATTGTTGATGGACCTTCACTTTATGTATTAATTTATTTATATGTGGTGCTGAGAATCGAACCCAGTGCCTCACACATGCCAGGCAAGTGCTCTACCACTGAGCCACAACCCTAGCCCCGATGTACTGTGAACTTTTGCTGGAGATTTATATCAATTTTTTAGCACTGATTAATCTCAAGACCTACATATTAACAACATTCAGATGTAGGATACTTGTGAATAAAAATTTTAATGTCTAGGGTTGGAGTTGTGGCTCAGTGGTAGAGTGCTCGCCTAGCATGTGTGAGGCACTGGATTCAATCCTCAGCACCACGTTAAGATAAATAAAATAAAGGAAAAAATAAAAGTTTGACTCTTCAAAGGTGCTAAAATGCTAATTTAGTACTTTTTAACATCTGCCTTTTGAAATTGTATTGTAGCTCAGGTCCCCACTATGCTACAGTAAATACTTCTCTTTGTTTCAGTCCATACACAAGACATGATTACTTAAACACTGCATAGACTACTAATGTAAATGGCATTAAACCTTTTCTGGGTTGTCTGACATAGACCGCTGCTGTTTCCTTTGTTTTCTTCCTTATGGACATATATCTATATCAATCAAAAAGTTAGTTTTCCTCTTTGTTGTTGTTTATATACTTACTTATTTATTTTGGTACTGAGGATTGAACCCAGAAGCACTTTACCACTGAGCTACATTCCTAGCACCCCCCAGCCCCTTTTAATTATTTTTTTACACTAAGTTGCTGAGGTTAGCCGTGAACTCATGATCCTTTTGCCTCAATGGCCTGAGACACTGGGATTATAGGTATGCACCACTGTGCCTGGCCATCCATTGTTTTTGAAAGAATTATATCCATAGAATTCTTGATATTGAACCATCCTTGCATTTCTAGCATTTGCCTATTCGGTCATATTGTGATAATATTTTGATTTGATGCTAGGTTATATTTATAAATGCTTTGTTAAATATTCTGTATATCTATTTGTGAGATTAGTGTATAGTTTTTATTCTTTGTAATATATAATGTTTAGATACTGAGATTAAAGTATTTTAATAAATAAATTGATGTGGGGAGCTTTCTAACATTTCCTATGGCTGGATTTTTTTTAAAACTAATAAAATCATCTTGACTTGCTAGTTAAAATTTTTCTTATTCGATTAATTTTTGAATAAGATTCAAAATTCATGAGGTCCAGTGAAAACTATTTTTTTTTGTTGTTGTTTTTTAGAGAGAGAGAGAGAGAATTTTTAATATTTATTTTTTAGTTTTCGGCGGACACAACATCTTTGTTTGTATGTGGTGCTGAGGATCGAACCCGGGCTGCACACATGCCAGGCAAGTGCGATACCGCTTGAGCCACATCCCCAGCCCATGAAAACTATTTTCTATCCCATCACTTCGTCACCTAGTTTTGCTATCAAAAGTAAAGGCAATCCTTATTGCCGTACCTTATGTATCCTTCCAAGTATTGTATACATACATACATTTAAATATTTGTTTATCTGGAAATATTTAATAATTATAGGACATATACACCTGGACACACAAACACATATTTATTTATCCCTACATATTTACATAGTCCTCTTTATGCATGAATACTATAAATATTGCTTTGAGCACTTTGTTGTTTTTTTTCACTAAATAAAACTTGGAGATCATCTCACACTAAAGTATTAACGGCCAGATCACTATTGTTTTAATAATTGCAAATTTCCCGTTGTTTACATATAACCAGGTAGTCTCTTTAATTATTCATGATTTAATATAGCCACGAAAATTTTCCTAAAACAAAGATCATATACACTTTTATTTTCTGGCAAACAGAAGTAGTTTCCTAATTTAGTAAATTTAAGTGACAGACTTACTGTCATGTAGTCTTTGAGTGCTTCCTATATGCTAGGGACTGTCTGATCACTTTACATGCATTAACTCATTTGACCTGAACAAAGACACAATGAAGAAAATCATGTTATTATTGCCATTTTAAAGATGAGGAGAGTAAAGTACAGGAGATTAAGAAACTGGTCACCTGGGCAGAAACCAAAACAGTGAGAATTTGAATTTAGGCAATCTGATTCTAGTGTCTGCTTTTTGAAAGGGGAAGGATTTACTGTTGCCAGTTTATTACCATGTTCAGCCATTTTTAAAAATGTCAGACCTAGCAAATCCAGGCTCTTTTGACTTTATTCTGTGGATCTCTGAAGGGAGGGTCTTGATATTTTTTTTTTCCCTGTTAAAAATGAGCCACACCAGAGCAGAAGAGCTTTCTTCCTGTTACTGTCATTTCCCTGGAATGCATTTCCAGTTTTAAAATAGAAATGATGATGAAAATTAGCTTCAAAATCACAGTCCAAACCTACTGTTAACTTTTACAGGATGCACCTATAATGGACTTTGAAATAATGTTTATTCTCAAATACAGACAGAAAAGGATATTTTTTCAGCATATATAGGGTAGCTAGCCTTGCTGCTTGAAAGTTGGCTCTTACAGTTCTGTAAACAGCTTTCCGAAGACCGATGAGATGCTGACTGGGATGCTGTCCAGCTTTATTAAATGAGCAAGCAGCACTGACCCTGTCAAGCAAACTTGAAAAGTAAAATGTGATACAACTGTACAGATGTCCTAAAGTTTTTGTTTCCTAAATCCACAATTCTATTAACGTTAGAAAGAATTCCTTTCTCATAATTTTTATTAGAAAATGACTATAAGTATCCCAATTCAGGTGTCATAAATAACCATTTCCCTGACCCATACATGGCCATCAGAAAAAAACACAAGTGAAAAATCAAAATCTCAAAGAGTAAAGGTTTCCTATGATATGGGGAAACCATCAGTTGTGATAGAATAGAAATATAAGAATATTTATGTAAGAATTTGCATATTTTTTCCATAAAGATACTCTACCTTCTAAAATACACTAAAGTGGAACTACTTTACAGTTTTCAGAACCCATATCCACAAGATATATGAAGGATTTTAATTATCAACAGATTTACATTCTTAATATACATTTACATATATTCAATTAATCATATATTTGGTTACTTGTACAGAACAATCAAATACTTTATAGAAATAACATTCTGTACATTCATAAAAGTAGGGTAAAATTACTTACCCACCTGCTGCCACTGGCACTTACCTACTCAAAATGAAGTAGGGGGCGCAGAAAGATAACAGGACCAGTGGCCAACAGGGGAATGCAAGTAGAAAGGTAAAGTAAGGGTTACTACGTGGTAGGAGAGCTACTCTCAAAATCGTTCAAAAGGAGCACATTTTATGTCACTTTCCTTAAGATTAATGGAAAGTATCTATTTGCAATGATTTATGTGTTGTTTTATGACTGTTAAGTATGCAGGATTAAATATTACAGTTATTAGATAATAACAAATATCAATATTTGTAAATTTTCTATAACATAACCATAAACTTATTTTTAAAACCCTAACTCAGAACTTTAAAAATGTTAAAACAAATTAAAATATATGGACAATGACTGATACTCTCATTCTTTTTAAAAAAAAAAGATGGACAGCATGCCTTTATTTATTTTTATGTGGTGCTGAGGATCGAACCCAGTGCTTCACATGTGCTAGGCAAGTGCTCTGCCACTGAGCTACAGCCCCAGCTCCAACAGGCTTATTCTCAAGGCAAAGAAGGGTTAAATTATTTTCTAGAGAGGACAAATTGAGACAGAAACAAAATAGCACGCGTAATTTCAACATATGGAACTATTGTTTGTGTTCCAATTTACTAAACCAGTTTTACAAAGTAAAAATATTTGTAAAAAATTATGATTCACGATTTATTATTTCTCATTTTTTCAGTGTATTGTCTAGTTAGACGGAGATAAATGAAACACAATTTCTTCCAATATTTTTTTCTGCCTATCTGCCATCTGAACAGTAGAAAAGCATCATCTAAAGGTAAATTGTGTCTAACTGGCCCACATTACCTTTTCATGCCAATTCCATATATATAGGTAAAAACCTGAAAGTGACAAAGGCACAGAATCCTCTACACATGCCTAAACATTAGATAGGCACACAGCCATTCAGCTTAATCAGTCAGGCCTTTCAATAAAATGCTGTGTAAGTCAAGAATGAAAAGGAGATATTACTTATTTTAAGTGTGATTTTTAATTTTTAAAATTTGACAAACAACATAAAATCGTTATCTTCTACCAGTAAGAAGCAGACCTAACCTAGTGGAAGGAAAATATCCATAGATACTGAGCACTTTTATTTTGAGTTGAGCAGAGGAATAATATGAACACTCAGAACTGTTGTGTAGAACACAACAGAGTAAAGAACATTATAACTACTGCAGCTTCTTCCTCTTCTTTGTTCCATAATGTTCCAGATACAGCTTTTCTGTCAAGATTGTTTAAGTACTATTCTAGAGCAGAGTGAAGAATTCAAGACACCAGAGGTTTTTCACTTCTGATTTTCACAATTTCCCAGATACAACTAAAAGTAATGGTTATTCTTTATTATATACTTTCTCCCACATACAGACTGAAATTGTTAAATAAGTAATATAAATTACTAAATATACTATAGTCCAGCCACCATTTGTGAGCATTCAGTAGGCAACAACTTACTGGAAATAAGTTAGAAGTCAGATGGAATGGATTTGGATATGTGCTCTATCACTTACCATACAACTTGCCTTTAGTTGTATGTAAAAGTGATTAGCATAGTATATGGAACATAGTTGGTGCTCATTTAACTTTTTTTTAATGAAAAAAATAAGTAGCAAGTATGGCAGTAGCTTAAACACTTATGGCTGAACTGGTGAATATTTCGTTGTCAATGAGAATACGAAACATCACTATTTGCATGATATTCTGAAAGTATCTGTGCTATAATACCACCAATGTTTACCTAAAGAATATTACTAACACAGATTAAGACTTCAAAATTAATCCATGTCAGATACATCTATCACTTAAACTGGAGAAAGATGATATTTAAAAGAGAATAAAGGGAACAGACATATATGGGGTACCGATTGCATGCTAGGTTCAGTGTCAGGCAGTCTTTTTATATTATCTCATACAAATAAATACATGGTAATAGATAAAATAATCATGATCCTCGAAGTACTATGGTTTCTCAAAGGAGGTAAGTAGAATCATACTACATGTTAAATCTAGCATATAATGTCTTTAACCCTTCATTTTATAGTTAATAGACTTTAAGTAGGGCTGACAGGTAACATGCTCTTTTCCAGTAAATTCAAGAGATAAATGAAAATAGATAATAAATAGTTTCCTTAAACTATGTAGTGAAAAACAATAATTTTTAAAATGAAACGAAAAATGAACTCACAGTGTAAATCCTCTGGAAATGACTTCAGTTTCTTGAATGAGACGTAAAGCTTTTCTCACAAGATTAGTAAATGCTCGGCTATTTGCTGCCATATCTTCCAGACGGACACTGTATTTTTTTAGGGTCATATGTAGTTTGGCTGTCCTCCATAATCTCAATGCTCGTATGATTAAATAAAGAAATAGAACCACTCCCCATACCATCCAAGAAGATACAATCCACCAAGTAGGAAGCATAATCAGCAAACTAATGAAGGCAAATAGCATTGAGACATCCCTAGGAACAGAGAAACCAAGAGAAGGATATCCATTAGACAAGAAAAAGAAAGATAAGTCAACTGGTAAAAACAACAGTAAATTTAGGTGTACTAAAATTGATAAATTCTTTGTGAAACAAGACTTTGAAAATATGACATTTAATAAGATAATATGAAATAGTTGTAATTTTTTTGTGTGTGTGGTTCTAGGGATTGAACCCAGGGGTGCTCTACCACCAAGCTACATGCTTAGTTCTTTTTATTTTGAGGCAGGGTCTCCCTAAATTGTCCAGGCTGGCCTTGAACTTGCGATCCCTCTGCCTCAGGCTCCTAAATAGCTGGGATTACAGGTTTGTGGCACCTTACCCAGAAAATTCTTCTACTTTTGAAGGAAAAGATGCTTACTTCCTCATGATGATATTTGGTTGACTGCAGATTTGAAAAGTATCATACTTCACTATCTGAAGCATCTGTCAGTGTGACAGGAAAGACATTTAGAAGACTGAGGCCAAAGAATGTAACTGCCTAATATAACTGGAACAGTGATTTAGTGCATTCCTTGATTCATTCCTCCCTTCTCTGTCAAATTTAATAAATGCTAATAGGAGGACATCAGCAACTTTTTATATATAATATCATTTCACCATTCTTCTTATTATTTAAAAAAATATGACTTTTGCATTAGATGCAGGCACTTCAAGTGATTGAAAAATTTCAGGATAATGCTTATCTGTTTGTTTTTGAGACAAGGTCTTGCTACATTATCTAGGCTGGCCCCTAACTTGTGAATTCCAGTGACCCCCTGCCTTAGCCTCCTCAGTAAGTTTTAGAATAGTTTAAATAATTAAATTATGTTCCTTATGATCTCTTCTCAACCACAGTAGCAATAGTTGACTGTTATGTCTTATTCTATCCTTAGTGTCTCTATAATGTGGTTATTATACTATATTTTATAAAGAACTACAAAGAATTGACTAGGTTTGTAAGCACACATGTACGTAGATGTCTGGGTAAGAGAGGTTTCTTTTGCTACATTTATACTTTTTTTTTTTTTGTACTGAGGATTGAACTTGGGGACGCTTAACCACTGAGCAACATCTCCAGCCCTTTTTTGTATTTTATTTAGAGACAGGGTATCAATGAGTTGGTTAGGCTCTAAGTTGTTGAGGCTTCCTTTGAACTCACAATCCTCCTATCTCAGCCTCCTGAGCCGCTAGGATTACAGGCGTGCACCACCACACCTGGCTTATATTTATTCTTCTTTGTTGAGCTGCTAAGCACAAAACTAATTTTACGGAGTTGGAAGTATATGATAATCAAATCATATGTTTTTCCGGCTTTACTTTAAATAGCAGTTACTTCAGAGAAACATTTTTTAACCTCTAGCATATCATTACATTCATTGTAATGCTAAATGTATAGGATGTTTATAATGCCTTTACAATGGAAAGCATGATGACATTTCCTCTGTGATACTCTATATGTAAGCAGTCAAAGATAGATGTTTTCTGGACAGTACCAAACATTAGGGGTTGCCAGGGAGCAGAGTGTTGGAAGGTGTCCATTTTCCTGTTGTTGAGGTTGCCCTGCAGACAGGATACTGGGATCAAGTAGCTCAATTAGTTCTACATCCTCTTGTAACAGGACTTCCTGTTGCAGGATGGTATGCAGTAAGTCGAGTCGGAATCCAGTATCCTTGCCATTAAAATGCCAGAAGAAAAGAATTAATACATACGTGCCATTGTATTAAGTGCTAAGCTTCTAATGTATTATAAACTTTGGGAGGTGTTCATTTTCAGTACAGACCCCCAAAAGAAACATCAGTCCAATCTATCTTAAGTATGATAGATGGGGTTTTATTTTCACTATATATGTGAAACAATAAAAATTGAGATCAACATTAAGATATTAGATATGAAATATAAATTTTAAATAATGAGATATAAAGTAATTACAGATTAATAACACTGTCTACTCAAGCCTACTTAAATTGTTGGGAGGCAATATGGTGAATACAATATAAAAGATGCTGACCCTGAATACTGTAATGATAAAGCCATATCTAAGAATTACATCAACAGGATCAAGGCCTTCTAAAAATGGACATTCAATTATTTAAAAGTACATCATTAGGTATGTAATGTAAAACAACATTAACATTTCCATAGCACTTTATAGTTTACAAAATGCCTTCACATATACCAGTTCATTTATTCCTTACTCTCTTCCTTCTATCCATATGTCAAGGAATATCTTCTTTAAGCAAGGTATCATGCTTGACACCGAAGACACAAAAAATGGACAAGACATACAAATCTTATCTTTTATTTTTATTTTTTTGCAGTATTAGGGGACTGAACCTAGATCCTTGTGATACTAGGCAAGCACTCTACCAATGAGCTCACACTTGGCCTACCAGTCTCTACTCTTACTAAGGAGTTCCTAATAGTTTAATGGACAGAACCAAAAATTAAACAGTTAAGATATAATGTGTAAAGAAGTGTGATGAGGTATAACTATGAAACTAAGAAAATGACCAGAAGAACCAAATTTAAAGTCAGCCAAAGTTAAAGAAGTAAAACCTGACATAGTCTTAAAGGATAAATAAGAATTATCAGATCAAAGAGTTGGAAGAGTGGGACAGTCAGGATAGAAGCTCTTCTAATTTGGGAGAGCAGAATTTATATGATATGTGCAGAATGCACATTGCACATGGTAGAGAGGTAACAGAAGAGGTAGCAGTGTTAGGGCAGTCAGGTTAATTTTCACAGTAACCCTGTGATGTACATAATCATCCTCTTCTCCATTTTATAGAGAAGAAAACAAAAGTCAAAAGAGATGAAGTTACTTTCCAGAATTCTGATAGATTTTTTAAGTTTAATTTTAAGTGATACATAAGAACACAAAAATTGTACATATTAATGGAGTACCATGTAATGTTTCAATACTCAGATACATGGTGTAATGTTTAAATCTGGTTAAACATATCTTTCTCCCCACTTATCATTTCATTATGGTGAAAACTTACAAAGTCCTTTCTTATAGTTTTTTGAAATGTACAGTACATTATGGATATCTGTAGTAACCTTATTGTGCAATAGCACATGAGAAATTATTACTCCTATCTAAATATAACTTAGTAACCACTGACCAACCTTTCCCCATCCCCTGTATCTTCCGTAGTCTTTGGTAGTTAATTCTGCTTTTCTGCAGTTAGCCTCACCAGAAAATTTTATGTTTTGTTTTGTATTAAATTTAGTAACAGAGTGATTTTGTTATATTATCAAAATAAAAATAATTTTTAAATGAACAAGGCCTTTTATAATAAAAATAAAACCAATTAGGTCTTAGGTTTGAGGGCAGTCCTTTGCTTTTCCTTTGTTTAAACATCATTCCCTAGCATCACACTTAACTGCAAAACTAGAATACTCTGCCTTCTCAAATCAATATGCTTAGAGGCAATATTAATAGCTTTGGGAATATCTGATTAAAGAATATATAACACACCAACAACCTAAAATAATAGTGAACTTGAAAGGAACCAAGACACTTCAAATAACTAAAGCAGTGTTATTTTAGGGATTTGATTGCTTCTACAGAGGAAAAACTTGAGCTATATTCTGATAACAATGGCTATTTAAGTGGAATAAGATTAAATTAATAAGTTTCTTCAGGATAAATTATAAAATTATATATTACTATTTATAAAAATAATTAACTATAGAAAATATACTGTACTACAGCAATCAAACTATTAGGAAAATAGTCATATGCCATATTAAGAAACATCTCACAACAGCCTTATTTAAACTGAGAAGTCCAGGTTCAAATCAAACAAAGGAAGAAATTTAAAAGGTACAAATTCCGAATGACTTACATATCAGAAGGTGGGAGCCCTGTGCTGTTGGAAGGTGCACTATATAAAATGGCTCATTCTCAACAAGTTTGAGTATCAAAACTTGGAACCTAGGCTTATATCTTGGGCTCACAACTTAAGCAAGTTAATAGCTTCTCTGTGCTAGTTTTCTCATCTGTAAAATGGGGGATAATAAAAGTACTACTTTATAGGGCTGTGCAGAATAAGTTGATATCTATAAAATAATAAGAACAGTTTCTGGCACACAGTAAGTTCTAAGTGTTAGCTGTTAGTGTTGTTAGTACATATGAAATAATTCAAAGACAAGAAAAGCATGCATTGAACATAATACAATGCAAAAACTTATAGAACATAAATATAGATAATTATTACTAGGTTGATGAATAAATAAGAGATCCAATGGAATGAAGTTTGTGGGGGGAAAAAAAACTTGAGAAAAAGCTAGGATTGCTTACTGAACAGATTCCAAGAGATCAAGAGAAAAATGGAAAAGAGTTCCACCACAGTATAAGAGCACATACACAGGCATACAGAATACAAAATTAAAGAAAAGGAAGGTGGATAAAGTTGGAAAGGTTGGTTAATACTAAATGATGCAGACTCTTTAATGCTGAAGTGAGCAATTTGGATTGATTTGATGGATAATGGAAATCTCAGGATCTACACAGGAAAGTGGCATGAGAAAGTAACTTAGGATGATTTCTGCTTGGATGAAATGAAAAGGATATGAGAAGACACATTAAAGAATAAAGAGATTTCTAATTTTTTCTTCTGCATCAATGATCTTACACAGTTTTCTATATCATAATGCTATTTCATAAAGCTGATAGGATCAAATGAGACACATGTGTGAAAGCATTTCATAGGTCAAAAAATGCTTAAAAAGTACTACTAACACTACCATCATAATTGCTATAAAAGAATCTCTCTTTGTTTCAATCTTTTGGCACTATAAACATAAACAGTAAAATATTCAACTATCAGAAAAATTGCCAGTATTTTTATTTAAAAAAAGAGGGTCTGCTTCAACGTCTGTATAATTAATAACATATTAAATATATCACAACCAAGCGGGTAAAGTCAAACAATCACATGACAGAAGCCAGTGGTCAATTCCTTTAGTCAACTCCTTCTTTGGTTATGTATTCCCATAATTCTCCATAATACAGGCACAAAAGGGATGCATACAGAGGCTGCCTGCCACTTTATAGAGAAACATGACATGAAACATGTGGCCACTGACAATGAACCAAAGAACAAAAGACCAGGCCAATGCAAACAATGAATAAACTACAGAAAAACATATGTGGATCCATATACCTTACCACAGTCCTAGTATCACTGAAGAATGAGATGGCTCCACCTGGGTAAAGATGATATTCTACGTAGATGATAAGACACTTCCTTGACCTTCTCAATACACCTTCTACAAAGATGAAACCCTGAACAGAGAACTTGATAATCTGGATTGCTAAAAACATAATTTTAGTCAAAAAATAATAATATTCAAGCTAGAAAGGTAGTAGTTTTGAGTGGAAAGAGCAAAAGTTTTGAAACCAAGAGACTTGGGTTCAGATTCTGGCTCTATCATGTTCTGTAGCTAAATATTCTTGGGCAATTCACTTAATCGTATTAAACCAAACTAGGTGGTCTGAATCTAGGCTTTTCACTGGCAAACTATATTCAACCTTATAGTGTGTTTGGAGTAGCGAATCAAAATGTGAAAGCACTTTGTAAACAATCTCTTTACAGATGTTAATTTACAAGAATGACAATTCTTAGAGTCACAGGCCTGCAGAGGATCCTGAAACCTGCTCATTCATAACTTGGTTACTCCTTTTGGGAGCCATGAGAACTTTATAATTTGAATGTTTTAGCTATACTTCCTGGATTTTATATTGTTAGATTGTAAGAAGGTCATGAGTCAAGCAATAGATACATTAATTACAGCCTAGTCTAATGAAAAAAAAATTTAAAATAGAAAGAAAACCTCACAGGAATCACAAAGACCCTCAGTGTTGACTGACCATTTCAAATGTCTGTGAAATTCTGTGATTCACCAGTCCCCCAAGACTAAACTGATCACACTAATAGATGAATTCTCTTCCCTCCTGAGAGGAACACTTGTCAATGAAGCAAGATGGTAGCACTAATTTATAAGTCTAAAAAACAAGGTTCCAATAACTACCAGAATATTCCATTCTAAGTTGTTACTAACCTCTTAAAAGAGCTATGAACAATAAGCTATGAATTAAAAGGTCCCCAGTTGTTGCAGAATTCCTAATTAAAAAAAAGAAAAATCACTGCCAAAATCAGTAGCAAAATACATTCGGATTTATCATTTGTCTAATAAACTGAAGCCCTGTAAGATGACAAAAAGAAGTAAAGTGAATACTCACCAATTTGTGAAGTAAGTCATCTTTCTTATTGCACTGAGGAAAAAAAATCCAACTTTTGATGGTTTCAGCCACTTTTAACAGGATGCCTTGCTGAAGGAGATGAATGACATTATATAGGATCATTAATTAAATACAACCAAAAAGTAAAAAAACCTCTAAATACCTTACCTCTAGTTAATCAGAATTTTTATCAGAAAAATTGTCCAGGTTATACATCTTGTCAATGTTGCAGTCTCCTCATTAATTCCAAAATTTGGTTGTACAATAGAATCACCTAGAGCTTTTAATTAGAAATATTTTTCTGAGCCTCCAAACTAAGAAAAGTTTGATTCAATAGGTTTGGAATGAGGCCTAGAAATCTGTTTCTTCAAAAGCAGCCAAAAGACATTCTAATGTAATCCATTTGTCTTGGGAACACTATATACTATCTATGTCAATGTGACGATGGTATTTATTTCAGAATGAAATCCTAGGGCATGCCAAGTTCTCAAATATTAAGATTATTTCATTTCATAATATTAAGGCAGAAAGATGTTTTAATCATTTTAGAAAAACTGTCACATACTGAAATAAAAAGATTTATTATTGAATCAACCCAAAATACAATTTAACTTAATAGCCCATTTCTGAGCATGCCAGAAAAAGGAGGTTATATTCATTACATGATGGAATTTATATTAAGTGATAACAATACCCAGGTACTGCAAAGGGTCATAGGAATTAAAAATAAATACACATAACTGCTGTTTTCAGGAACTTAGTATAGAAGAGACAATAGAAATAATTATATACCAATGCAAAGTCTAGAATAAAGTATGGGAGGAGAGGAGGTCAAAAGAGCAGCTAATACTGGAGCTAAGCCCTATCAGAGGAACAGGAATTCAACAAAGGTAGGAGGACATTCCAGGGAAGGGAAGAGGATGAGCAAAGGAGAGAGGCTAAGGAAGCACAGACCATGGGAATGGTAGCATAGCCCAGGACAGTTATCATTATGGGAAGAAGGGATTATTCAGGAAGTTAAAAGGTATATGGATTCCATAAAAACTTACTATTTTTATGTGTCAATTAAAGAAAAAAAAAAGGTAAGGCAGAGGGTATAGTTAAATGGTAGAGTGTATGCTTAGAATAAGGGAGGCCCTGGGTCTAATCCCTAGCATGGGGGTGGGTGGGGGAGTATAATGAAAGGCATGGTATGATCTTAGATAACATCATAGTTTAGACATTATCTGATAGGTTATGAGGGGCCCCCAAAGGTTTTTAATGCAAGAAAACAAAACAATAAATCAGCATTTTACAAAAATAATTGGCAATGGTGTAAAGGCTGTAATGGCAAGTAATGTCTGCAGAATGACTAGGAGGATTATTTAATAAGTCATATAAATAATGATAAAGGCTTCAGCAAGGTATTGAATGTAAACATAGTAATACATAGAGTTAGATTTAAGATACATAGAAGCTGACCTGATATATCACTTAGTTACCAAAGCAACACAGGAGTGATAGGAAATGGTGAGATAACTGAGAGAGGGTAGTAATTTGGGAATATAGAAAGAATATGTTTTTTGTTTGTTTTGGGGGTGACTGAGAAAAGAAGTCCTGTTTGGGGCATACTGAATCTGTGCTTACTGGAACACATGCAGGTGAAAATGTCTAGTAAGCATCTGGAACTCATAAAAGCCTGGAGAATGTATATAACCAATCAATGAAGGCAAGAGAGTAGATAAGATTACCCAGAGAAGAAAGACCAAGGAGAGAAGAGGCCTGATGCTAAAATCTTATGAAAGAGCTGGGAATGGTGGGTGTACGCCTATAATCGGGAAGCAGAGGTAGGAGGATTGGAAGTTGGAGAGATTGCAAGTTGGAGGCCAGTCTGGGCAACTTAGTGAGGACCTGTCTTAAAATAAAAAGTAAAAAGGGCTGGGAATGTAGCTTAGTGGTAGAATACCCCTGGGATCAATCCCCAGGACTGTAAAGAAACAAAACCAACCAAACAAAAAAACCTTATGAAAGGAACATTTAAGAACCACCACAGAGCTGGGGTTGTAGCTCAGTGGTAGAGTGCTTGCCTAGCATGTGAGGCACTGGGTTTGATTCTCAGCACCACATATAAATAAATAAAGTCCATTGACAACTAAAAAAAATATTAAAAAAAAAAGAACAACCACAGGAAAGAAAATGAGAAAAAAAAAAAGGTTGAATATTCATGATACAAATACTAGAAGAGACTATACAATAAATACTTATCATTAACATGAAAAAAGAGAAGGCAATTAATAATGCTAATGACTGCTTCATCAAGAACATATATTATACAAAAACACTGTTTGCAAAGAAAAATAATTGACAGTTCACTCCCTGAACAGAAATTTGGGCACAATTCTAAAAATACATTCCCTGAGAATGAACTGAATAATTCAATAAATGCTTCTAAATTTTAGCTGTCCCAGATTCAGGGGGAAAATTCATTTGGGGAAGATATAGCTCATACAGTAAAAAAAAGTTGCTTAGAGATGTACAATAGGAAGACTAAATGAAATTTCTAGACATGGTAAGTTTTAAAAATGTCCTCTGGCTGCGTTTTTTTTTTTTCTTTTTTTCACCTCAATTACTGAGAGAATTCAATTATAAGCTCTTTATCTGATTTATTTATAAACATTTCTATAAATAAAAATCCTTATCATAAATGACAAGCATTAATATCTACAAAACCTGAGTTTATGCCAAAAACCACTTCCAAAACTAGAAGCCAATTCCCATCCCTGCCCAAAGATTATCCCTTAGCTATTCTTTGTCTGCTGATGCTAAGTAATCTCAAATACAAGTGCTAATCTAAAAATAGCCTATCAGACCTAACTTTAGGTTTTGTTTTTCAAACCCTTTCCCAAGAAAGAAAAGGGCAAGAAGGAGTAAATTGTGACCCATGTGAGAATTAATTCCCCTAACTCCCATTTTTGGGTATTAGATAAAAACATTTCTTTAGCGTTTAGTTCGTTATTGCAAAGGGGCCAGCTTGGTTACCTGGCATTTTATGTTTTACTAACAGGATCAGGAAAATATTCCTGTCAATTTATTCTCTATCTCCTTATCACAAAGGAGTAAATGACTAATTGGAAACTTGAATATCTCTTCATAACAGTAACTGAGTCTTGTAATAAAACATGGATTAAACTAGAAGGATTAAGGAATGAGGTAATCTGGCTAATTTTTTTCTAAATCCTTTGAATAAAACTGAAATGTACTAAATATTTTCATATTTCAGTAAATATAGCTAATAAAATATAAGGAATTTTGTAGATGCATCTTCCAAGACATAATTAATGGAGATTCTTCTAGTATCTCAGCTTCACAATGTTGTATATCACTTACATGAGCAATTTACTGTATAGATGAAAAATAACCCTCTAAATATAAAGGCATCAGAAATTGAGGTAAACATACCCATTTTTTTTCATATACCCTTGAAACTGTGTTTCAAAAACTTCAATTTGCTTTCTTATAGTTTGTATTCTTTTAAAAAAAGATTTAGAGGGGATAATTCCATTAAGTAGAGGATTCCTATTAGTTCGGTTCTAACTAAAGTTTTAGTATATTTTTCTGAATCCTTTTGGATAACTTAAATATTAAAGAAATAATATATTTTAATTCAACCATGTTCATTTTCTCAGTTTATTTAAGTTATCCACAAAACAGTCGAAAGCAGCAGTAAGGATTCCCATTTACCTGAACAATTTTGTACCACTGATAAAATGAAAAATTAGCACCTCACCAATGTGAGGAAGGACATGGAGGGGCTTAGGAGATGGTTTTGTTTTTTATTATAGGAGGCAAAAGTATTTAGTAAGATAATAAAAAAAAAACATAAAAATATGAGCATGCTTGGCTGACATGCTGCTCAGTGACAACAGTCCTTGCCTAGTGGGTAGAAGGCCCTGGGTTATTTAAGTTCCTAGCAGCCCCCCTCCCTCCACACACAAATGAATATGTTCTCAACAGATGTGGTGGTGCATATCTATAATCTCAGGAACTCAGGAGGCTGAGGCAGGAGGATTCCAAGTTTGAGGCCAGCCACAGCAACTTAGCAAGGCTCTGTCTCAAAATTAAAAAATTAAAAGGGCTGGGATATGGCTCAGTGGTTAAGCACCCCTGCATTCAGTATCCATACCAAAAAAAGAAAGAATGAATATCAGTGTGCTCTCTTACTTTCGGTAGGACTTTCATAGGAGGCTTTTGTTGTCCCTCTGTGGTAGCACATTTTTCGGTTTTTAGTGACAAAGAAGAACATATTTCAAAATCTGTGTGTCCCAAATCCTGTAAGTACTGGTAAAGTGGAGAATTCTGAAAGAGACATATAAAATAAAGCAAATTTCAAGATCCTTATTTTTTTCGAAAGTTTAAGACGCCAAATTCAACATCAAACTTCACTGTCATGACTAGTATGTCCAAAGTCTTTAAGACTTCTGTGAGAATTGAATGCTGCAATCAATGTGATTTAATACCAATAAATCAACAAGCATTTAACAGAGAGACCCAAAAAAGGAAAAACTCTAAATAAAACACACAGAATATTTTGGGCAAGTACCAGCAAGCAAAACTGAATTTAGGAATATAAATAGATTGGTTAAGCAGTATCTTTGTCCCAAATTTTTGTATTCTTAAAGTAGACTGCTTCAAAATAGCCAATGCTGGTTAAAATTCCTAAGAGGACCTACAGTGAAACATGGTAATTACTTTAAGCCAAAAAATGTTAAGCAATGATTGTATTGTATTAATTTACAATTTTATCATAACATCATCTTCATTACTTTGTTTAGCACAAGTATGTATTATCTATCATATGCTTGGCACTACAAATAAAACTCTTTGAAAGAATTACTGTAGGTAAACTATAAATCACATATGAGTAATGGCAAACCAGAGAGTAATACATGCATTTGAACACAGTAATTAAAAACCCAAACTCTGGAGGCAAACTATAGGTTCAAATCCCAATTTTGCCTCTTACTAGCTAAGTAACCTATGGTAATTTACAATCCTCTGTGCTTCAGTTATGCCATCTAAGGGACAGCAATCTGAGATTCACTTGCACCATGGCAGACTACAGATGCCTCAAGAGATGAGGCAAAGAGGTTTTTAAGGGCAAAAAGGAAAATTCCATTTAAGGTATTTTGAAACAGAGACCCCTGGTTTACAAGGGGCTTATTGCAGGAGGTAGCACTGTTCATTGGTGGTACAGGCTCTTGCTAGCAGAGGGTCTTTACAGAAGTAGCTTAACTGGAAAATTCTGGTTTAGTATATTTCCATTCCTTTTTGGCAGTTCCTGTTTCGGGCTCACATGAGTGAAGGTTCTCCCTTCTTTGCCTCTGGACTCTGTTTTATTAGGGTTGAAATAAGTGAATCTATTTTGGTGCTGACAACTTTCACACAGCTAACAAATCTCAAGTATTTACTTGCATCATCTCAGTTGTAGTTCACAACAAAGTTGAAAGGATTTTATTATTGTCATCATTATAATTATTATTGCTATTCCCATTTAGTACATGTAGAAACAGATTCTGGATGAAAGCAGAAGAGTTGGGATTGACTACTAAATCTGTCTCCAAAGCCAATGCTCTGAAATATTATACTAAGCTCAAAGAAGAAATAATTCTTCATTTGTCTAGTAAGGAAGATACTAAAGAAGCTTATAGTTTAGTACAGAGAAACCAAGCAAATTAACAATAACAGGAACATAATGGATGCTATGAAAACAAAGGAGCCACAGCTAAATTAGACTTTTAGGGACTATATTGTTGAATTCAGAATAAGAGAGAGTAGAAATATGCTGGGCCCCAATTTGAAAGAACAGAAATTTGAGCCAATTGCCTTTCTTTTAATCTATGTCTAATCTCTTTTAAGAAATGTATTTTTAAAACTATGAGGAAGATGTGTTTCTTATACCTCTACTAGATTTAAAAATCTCTGGTGGCATAAACAGTTAATCTTTGTATCACCTCAATGTATACTTGAATATTGCCTTGAATTATTCAATGTGTGTTTTCTTTTTTTTAATTTTTTTATTGGTTGTTCAAAACATTACAAAGCTCATGATATATCATCTTTCATACATTTGACTCAATTGGGTTATGAACTCCCATTTTTACCCCAAATACAAATTGCAGAATCACATCGGTTACACACTCACATTTTTACATAATGGCATATTAGTGACTGTTGTATTCTGCTACCTTTCCTTTCCCCTACTATCCCCCCTCCCCTCCCTCAATGTGTGTTTTCAAGTTGAACTGTGAACCCCAACCTGCTCTGCCCTTCAGGGTGGCAAAAGAACAAGAACACTAGCCCATTTGTCTGGATTGACCTTTTGAAAAGTTTACATACTTTAAAAACAAAACAAAACACTTGTTTTTAAGGCAGTAGAACTCTTTCTTCACTTGAATTCCCATGGGGAAGAACAATAAATAACATTGATCAAAGCAGAGTTTCTTTAAGTCAGGGGCAGCAAACCTTTGCTATAAAAGGCCAGACAGTGAATCTGTTAGACTTTGCAGACCACATGGTTTCTGTCCCAACAATCAACCCTGCTGCTGAAGTGTGAAAACAGAGACAATACATAAACCCATGTACAGTTATATCCCAATAAAACTTTATTTCCACACAATGAAATCTGAAATTTATATAATTTTCATGTTTTACAGAATATAAGTATTTTGATATTTTCTCCAACAATTTAAATAAAGAAAAGGTGGCCAGGGAGGATGGGCCTATGGCTATAATCCCAGATAATCAGGAGACTGAGGCAGGATGATTGAAAGTTTGAGGCCAGCCTAGGCAAGTTAGTCTCAAATTAAAATTTTAAAAAATGGGGATATAGTGCAGTGGTAAAGCACTTGCCTAGCATGCCAGGAGCCTGGGTTGGATTTTCAGTACTGAAAAACAAACAAACAAAAAAAGTAAAATCATTGTTCACCAGCCATTTAAAAATTGGGGTGGGAGAATCTGGCCCAAAAACTTTATTTACTGATTCCTATTCTATAAAGATTCAATGGAAATCAGGAGGCATACTCTTTATCTATTTTTTTAAAATGTGGTGCTGAGGGTCGAACCCAGTGCCTCATGTGTGCTGAGCAAGTGCTCTACCACTGAGCTATAACCCCAGACACAGGAGGCACACTCTTAAATGTTTTTTGAGAAGAGGCTTGGAGGGTGGGGGGTGGAAGTAAATTTCTTTTTATTCAGATTATAATGCTCCTTTTACTGCACATATAGCAGATGCTCCCTTAGCACTAACCCCTCCTTTTCTAGTTACGTCATTGCTCAAAAAAGAACAAAATGGGATATCTGTAGCACAGATTAAAAAAAATAAATAAATAAAAAAGAAACAATGAACACTTTGTTTTCTAGATATGTTCTTCATATATGTTAAACATATACTTTCCTGTTTGCTTTACCATAATCTAGAACACTTGCCTAACTCACAAAACAAAAGCATTAATAGATCATCTTCTAACCATAAATAATGTCCAACAGAGTCCTGTGATACAGCCTTTCTCCCTGTTTTAGTCAGCTTTTTCACTGCTGTGACTAAAGGACCTGACCAGAACAACGGTAGGGGAGGAAGTTCATTTGAGGGCTCACAGTTTCAGAGGTCTTAGTCCATAGAAGGCCAGCTCCATTATTTGGGGCTCAAAGTGAGGCAGAACATCAAGGCAGAAGAGTATGGCAGAGGGCAGCAGCTCACATGATGATCAGGAAGCAAAGAGAGAGACTCCACTCTCCAGATACAAAATACATATCCCATAGCCACGCCTCCAATGCCCCACTCCTCCAGTCACACCCCACCATCCTTTAGTTACCACTCAATTAATCCCATTGGGTGATTAATTCATGGATTGAGTTAAGGTTCTTGTAATACAATCATCTCTTCTGAATCCTCTTGCATTGTCTCACACATGAGCTTTTGGGGGACACTTCATAACAAAACCATAACACTCCCAGTAGCTTATTCTGCTTTTTCTCCAAACATAAAAATGAACCTGGTTTGGGGACATAGCTCAGTTGATAGAGTGCTTGCCTCACATGCACAAGGCCCTGGGTTCAATCCTCAGCATCACCAAAATAATAAAATGTAATTTCTAGACATCTACTGTTATATTTCATATTTACAATTTCGTTTGTTTTTGTGGTGCTGGGGATTAAATACAGGGGCTCTCTATCACTGAGCTACATCCCTAGTACTTTTTGAGACACAGTCTCTCTAAATTGCTGATGCTGGCCTCGAACTTGTGTTCCTCCTGCCTCAGCCTCCTGAGCTGGGATTATAGGTGACTGCCACCCCTCCTGGCCATATTTGCAATTTTCTATTTTGGCTGTTAGTGCAAATCAGATCTCTTCCTAACATAAACCCAGAAACTGTATGAATGCAAAAGCTCCATTTTCTATGTTTATGACAACATTCTCAACTGTGACATTTATTTTACTGCTTTTTTTCTTCTTTTATGCTTCAATCACTTTTGAGCCAAAAGAAAAATTTAAATCTAAGCAATGACACACAAATAAAAACCAATAATTCTTTGGTTAACTAACTGGATGTCAGCCAAGACGAACTGACCAAGATGGATCTTGCAGCACATGAGCAATTTTTAAGAATACAGAGGAAATTTCTGGTGAAATTAATACTTTAAAAATATTTGTGGATAAAATTATCACTTTTTTTTCTCAAACTGCAAAATAACTTGGAGATTATTTGATGGATCTTGGGAAACCACATCCTGACCAATGATTCTCAAAATTTTTGAGACACCTTATGGTCTAAAAATTCAGGGCTCAAGTCATTACAATGTCAATGTAAACAACATATTTTTTAAATTTATTTTTAAATTTTTAATTATTAGTTCTAATCAGTTATACATGACAGCAGAATGTTCTTTGAGTCATTGTATACAAATGGAGCACAATTTTTCATTTCTCTGGTTGTACACGAATTAGGATCCCACCATTCATGCAATCATTCATGTACCTAGGGTAATGATGTCCGTCTCATTCTACCATCTTTCCTACCCTCGTGCTCCCTCCGTGGTAAAACATCCCTCAGTTCAATCCCCACCACCAAAACAGAGACTGAGAGAGAAACTATTAAAATACTTCTTCCTTTTCAACTAATTTCTGTTTAAATTGGTTTTCTTTATGTACTTCACTCAGTACATTACAAAACATAAAACCATAAGTTGCATCACACTGAATGCATGAACAGTGTGTTAGCTTTCTGTTGCTGTGACAAAATACCTA